TGTGAGCCCTGGGGTGGGGTCCAGGACTTCAGTGGACGAGGTCCCACCTCCCTACCTCACAGGCTTCGCAGACCAAGGCACTGAGGACACTGCAAGATCCCACCTTAGCCCGTGTTATGAAGGGTCTCGGCCTTGTCCCCAACTTGTAGACAGTTATCAGTTCCCGGAGAGAGCAGATTAAAAATCATCTACCAACAAAATAAGTCATCAGGCATAGCTTTCAATAATAAAAAATGCTCCAATTTTTATTTAAACAATTTTGTCTAAACATTTCTGGATACTAGATCTAGAAAAGGAGCTCCCCAGAATGCCAAAGCTGGGAGGGATCTGAGAACCTTCTAGTCCAATCTTATTTTACAGATGAGGACTGAGGATTTAGGGGTTGGTTCCCACTGAGGCCCTTTTAGAGACTCTAGTTACCCCAGGCGCTGTAAGGAAGCATGGCGCTACATGGAAACAGGAATGACACTGTTTCCCTAAGGAGGGAAGTGGAGGAGGACATGCGTGGCACCGCAGTTGGTCTCTGTAAGACTCTATCCCTCCCGCAGCCCCCAGCCTGTGCTGAGACTGAGCCTGGAACAGGGAGTGCTCGGAACCTTCCCTGATGTTGCCATGGTGCCCACAAAGACCCGAGGAAACCAAAGGTGAGCTCCCCTGCCGTAGCACCTTGCCCACAGGAAGAAAAAGGTGAGCCCCACGTGTCATGAGCGCTCTGAGGATTCAGGCTCAGAAGGCGAATGGCTCTCAGCTCTCCTGTAATTCAGAGACCGATGTAATGAGAGTGCCTTCGTTCCACTAGCTCCCCCTGTAAGCACACCTGCGGTGGGCAAGGGGACTTCAAAGTAGTAAGTATGGCTGGTACTTTCATCCACGTTAGAGACACAGAGGGCATCCGTAGGGCACTGCTTGGACTTGATTCCATATGGTCAGTTGGCAGAGAGGGGCTTCGGGAGTTCTGGGCTGGGAGGCAGGAGGGGTCTGGGAGCTGAGGTACCATCTTAAGTAACTCATGCCAATCAGAGTGACCCAGGAACCAACCCTCAAAACCCTTTAAAGGACATTTTGCCTGGTGTGATGAAAAAAGGAAAAATAACATGTCCAGGCCATTGAGATAGCCCTGGATTTCAAGATCAGCTAAAAAGGCTCTGGGATACCAAGCCGGAGCTTGGGTACCTCAGTGCAAACCCCAGCCTCCCCCTCTTAAGCCGATGCCGAGTTCTGCTTAGGTACGGGGAAACTTCTGTCTGGCTGTGGTTCATTCTGTGCTGACCAGGCTTGCTTTAGAATGTAACTCTAACCTCAAAGTGGCTCCACTGAGGGTTCAGGAGTTTATAGTAAGGACTGTGGAAGCTGGTGAAAGATTTGACATTGCGGACTTGAGGGTCTTTCTGACGCCTGCGTGGAAAATGGATCAGAGAAGCATATATGTGTTTCCTGGGGGTAGGAAAAACCTCCTTATGCAAGATGGAAACCCAGCCATAAAGGAAACACATCAATTTGATATCCAGTTTTTAAGTTAGGGATAGTCAAAGGATAGATATGTACATATACATACAGAGAGATATACGTATAGGCATACATATGTAATTGACATATTTTCCATACCTAATTAAATACTTTGTATAATATTCACAAAGTGAAAAGACAAGTGATACACTGGAGAAAATTTCTGCAATATGTAAGGTAGACAAAAGATTAACGTCTGTAGTATACAGAGAGCTTCGAGAAATGCTAAGGAAACTATATCAATCCAGTGGCAAAATGAGGAAAGCCTATGATTAGGCACTTCTCAGGAATAAAAAGTTATAAGGCTGATACATACATAAACGAATCTTAATAGTGGCCAGGGAAGCTCAAATTAAAATAACAATCTGAAACTATCACCCACCAGATTGGCAAAAATAAATATTGATAATACCGAGTACTGGAGATGGTGTGGGGGGGAAAGCACTTACAAATTGGATGGGAATGCAAATTACTATAACTTTTGGGAAAGTGAGTTGGCATCATCAATTAAAGATACCTGTCTTCTTTAGCATAATCCCACTTTGAAGGATCTGTTTCTTAGAAGTAAAAGCAATAACACACAAAGATATATATAGATATAGAAAGATAGATGATAGATGGATGGATAGAGATATAGTTAACAGCTATAGATATAAATACCTGTGTTTAAAAACATATATATATGGCTTCCCTGGTGGCTCAGTGGTTAAGGAGCTGCCTACCAATGCAGGGGACACGGGTTCAACCCCTGGTCCGGGAGGATCCCACATGCCGCAGAGCAGCTAAGCCCGCGAGCCACAACTACTGAGCCCACGTGCCTAGGGCCCGTCCTCCACAACAAGAGAAGACAACGCAACGAGAAGCTCGCGCACCGCAATGAAGAGTAGCCCCCGCTCACCGCAACTAGAGAAAGCCCGCGTGCAGCAACGAAGACCCAATGCAGCCAAAAATAAATAAATAAAATTAAAAATATATATATATATACATATACACACATACATATATGTATGTATGTTTATTGCAGCATTGTTTTGGGGAGTAAAAACACAGGAAACAAACTGAATGATCATCAACAGGTGAATAGTCTAATAAATTATGATATATCCACAGTATGAAATATTGTGTGGCTCTTGTTAAATTTTTCTTTACTTGTCTTTGTATTAGCTCACTTGTTGCAATGAACCTGTATCACTTTGGCAATGTAAGAAATCTAAGGTAATTAAAAGGAAAAGAAAAGCCTGTCTGCCCAGGTGGAATAGAAGTTCCACGAGGCAGAGATCCTGTCCACTTTGCTCACTGCCGTATCCCAAAAACAACACTTTCCTTGCATATGGCAGCTGCACAGAATATACTTGTTAAATGGACAATTGAGCCCCTTCTCAGCACCACGGCTATAGTGCAGGTGAAATGCTACCTGGGGAGTGATGCACAGAGTCAGGTGGGATGCTTGGTCACCAGGTGACCTAGTTCCTGCTGGTTTTGCCTGCTCGGCCACTACCCTTCTCCCCAGGCTTGTTCTGGGGAACCACCCAGTCCCCACTGCAGTCTCGTTGGGAGAGTTAATCAAGCTGTCTGCCCGCCTGAGACCTAAGCCAAGCCAGTTGTGTTCTTTTGCTGAGAATTTCAGTGGAGCAGGACCGCCCAAGACTGACTGGGGCGGGTGGGTGGGGGGGTGAGACGGGGAACTGCTAGAGGCAGCCTAGACGCAGCGTCTGACAGAGGTGGACACTGGTGCTTGCACCGTATCCCTGGAGCTGCTTCCTGGCCGTCCCCAAAAAGAGTCTCCGTTTTCCCTTTGATTCTGAGTTCCCTCTTTCCCTTACCATCCTTTCAACAAATCCCAACCTCCCTTAACCCCCAGATTTTTTTTTTGCCATGTCATTAACAGAGTTACTTTCTGTTGCTTGCAACCAAACTACCCTAAAAATGATCAGAGACAGCTGGGAAGTTCTGCCACTCAGCCCCTTTCATGTCCCTCAAAACTAAGGTGAGATGAGTCCACTGTGCTCCAGGACAGCCCTGGTCGACACTAGCTGTCTAGGCCTAATTATTAATATCACCCCTTTTAGCCTCCTGGTCTGAATGACAAATTACATGGTCAGCCTACTCATAGGCCTCCTTTGGTCCCCATCACCTTGGTAAAGGGTGGAGACTCAGAGGATCATGGATTGTCTCCTATTTTGCTTGATCTGAGACACTTTTCCCAGCACAAGAGCAGAGAATCGTCTTTCTACTAATGTGCTTTCAAAAGTTAGATTTTTCACTTAATTTGATAAATAACTGACACTTGAGGCTTACTCATTATTACTTTTGTGGCAAAATATAGATTCTTTGGTCCAATCCCCTCCATAATATTTTGAAAAGACCCTTTGGAAATTTTTTGAAATTTAAAATTTACCTCTTTCATCTTCCAGGTGCTTCTTCCCTTTGTGTAATCTCCATGGTCCTTCATGAAAATGCTGAATCCGGTAAGTAATCAGTTTCACAAGAGGGCAGGCAATGGTGAGGAACAGAAGCACCTGGTGACAGTTGTATTGCTGGGTTTCCACAAGGGGATGAGTCCAGCACCCCTGAGGACCTCAAGCTTTATTGGCTGACTCAGCTGGGAAGAGTGTGTTGGAGGCCTGCTGTCAGAGCCCATCATTTTTGTGTCACACTTCAGCAGGGCTGTATCTAGGTTCAGATTCTACAGTTTTCAATCACCCACCATATTCCAGGCACTATACTAAAGCATAGTTCCCAAACTTTATTTTATCATTTCAACAGCGTCCTTATCCTCATCCACATCCACATCCTCATCCTCATCCTCATCCTCATCCACATCCACATCCTCATCCTCATCCACATCCTCATCCACATCCACATCCTCATCCTCATCCTCATCCTCATCCACATCCACATCCTCATCCTCATCCTCATCCTCATCCACATCCACATCCACATCCACATGCACATCCTCATCCACATCCACATCCTCATCCTCATCCTCATCCACATCCACATCCTCATCCACATCCTCATCCTCATCCTCATCCTCATCCTCATCCTCATCCACATCCTCAACCTCAACCTCATCCACATCCTCATCCTCATCCTCATCCTCATCCTCATCCTCATCCTCATCCTCATCCACATCCTCATCCTCATCCTCATCCTCATCCACATCCTCATCCTCATCCTCAACCTCATCCTCATCCTCATCCACATCCTCATCCACATCCTCATCCTCATCCTCATCCTCATCCACATCCTCATCCACATCCTCATCCTCATCCTCATATTCATCCTCATTATCGTCGTCATTATTCCCATTTTATATATGAGGTCCAAGAGGCTCAAAAGAGTAAATTTTTTGCCCAAGGTCACACAACCAGTCAGTGGCAAAAACAAGATTTGAACTCAGATCCTCCATTCCATGGCCTGTGGTCTCCCCACCACCCTGTTGGTGCCTGGTGTGGCTTAGGATCCGTTTCACCCATTCCTATGGGTCCCTCATGGTGCACTTGTCCTGGGTAGGTTTCCTTGAGCCACCACATCTGAGGTTTACATCCATGCTGGGTTTTGTACCGCTCCCTTAAGGAAATTGCTGAAGCCCAGGACCTTAAGAAAATGTCTAAGGAAAAGTCCCCACCCAGTGGCCCACCTGTTCCAGTCCTGGGTTTATACCAAAAGAACTGAAAACAGGTGTTCAAACAGAAACTCATACACGAATATTCATAGCAGCACTCTTCACAGTAGCCAAAAGGTTGTAACAACCCCAATAGCTATCAGCTGGTGAATGGATAAACAAAAGGTGGTCTCTCCCCACAATGGAATGTCATTCAGCCCTAAAAAGGAATGAAATTCTGACACAGGCTACAACGTGGATGAACCTTGAAAACATGCAAAGTGAAAGAAGCCAGACTTAAAAGGCCACTGTTGTAGGATTCCATTTATATGAAATTTCCAGAACAGGCAAATCCGTAGAGACAGAAGGCAGATGAGTGGTTTCCAGGAAGTGGGGAAGGGGGAAATTGGGAGTGATGGCTTAACGAGTCGACAGTTTCCTTTTGGAGTAATGCAAAGGTTCTGAACTAGATAGTTGTAATGGTTGTACAACACTGTAAATGTCCTAAGTGCTACTAATTGTACCTACAAAATGGATTAAATGGTGAGTTTTATGTTTTGTATATTTTACCGCAATTTGAAAAAAAACAGTCCCTGCGCCAGATCTCCTCAGTTTGATATCTTTCTCCCTGACATTTCACCTCTGGCACCTCCTGTCCCAGGTGCTAAATTCCAAATTACTTTGTGGCTTGAAGTCCTCAGTCTCCTGAATACAATATATTTGTCTTGAGAAGACAGCTCTGGAAAAATATTGGCCATCTTTGAAAATTAACCAGCCTTTTAAAATTTGTCTTGATTTCCTTTCTGCTGTACAATTTGGAAAACCTGGTATTTATGTGTGGTTAAAAAAAGACGTTCTTTCTTTCCAAGCAGCACAAACCCCAGCTGGAACGCCGGATCGTTGGCTCAACCAGCCGGTGGCGTTTCCTCAGAGAGCCTTTTTTGGGGGACCTGCTGGCGCTTTCCCAGATGTGCAAGGCTGTCAACGTAGACTTTGATGAAGTTCTGAAGAACCCAGACAGGTAGGAAGACCAAAGGCCCATGGCGGGGTGAGCCACCCTTCTGGGAAGTGCCCCATGGTTGGGCAACTCTGATTGGGCAGGTGGGCTGTCCTGGGTATTTGCAAGGAAGGCTGCCTTTGGGACCATCCCTTAGGGATGGACAGGATCAGGGTGACAGCTTCCTCTGAGAATGTCTGTGGGTGGTGATTAAAGTCCAGAGAGATTGAGAATTTTTTTTCTAGATTTTCCTTTGTACTGGGAACTTTGGACCCTAACAGGATTCTAAGTTTATCAACTGATTTGTTGACAAACAAAGTGAGACGGCCTGGCTCAGAGTTTGAACCCATCCCACGAATGCGCATGTCCACCCAGCAAGGGGAGAAGCAGGCTTCTGCTCACCCGCAAAGTGTTCCGAGCTGCTGGCTTAGAGCATCACTTCTTCGGGTTATGAGTTTTTATTTGCCTCTCCTGGGGACACAGAGCTGGATCCCGTTGCAGAAGGAACACTTCACTTCCCTGGCCTTTTGCCCTCTTTTTTTTTTTTTTTTTTTTTTGCGGTACACGGGCCTCTCACTGCTGCGGCCTCTCCCGTTGCAGAGCACAGGCTCCGGACGCGCAGGCTCAGCGGCCATGGCTCACGGGCCCAGCCGCTCCGCGGCATGTGGGATCTTCCCGGACCGGGGCACAAACCCACGTCCCCTGCATCGGCAGGCGGACTCCCAACCACTGCCCCACCAGGCCCTGGCCTTTTGGATCTGCCTGGATGCTTCTGCCTCCATGCACTGGCACGTCTGCCTTATGAGCACTCCGTCTGACCTGCCTGAGCATCTCCCTGAGTGTGGGCTGTGCCCTGGGCAGCACCTGGCACGGAAGAGCTCCTGGCTCCATGTTTGCTGAGCGAGGAGCCACATCTTCCCTTTCCAGGCCCACCGGCCAGCCCTGCTCGGTTGCCTCCCACCCCACAGATGACTATACCACGCACGTGGGAATAAACCAAAGCCCATCTGGGTTTGGTCTCTAAATTCTCTGACGACCCCCGCTTAGAAAAAATTGAGTGCTGTGAGTTGCAGTTTTTGGCATTGGTTACTCATAGCCTTAAACAACTTTGAACTTATTTTATATTTTGTTTGGTTAGAGCCCTGAAGAAGTCTTAGAGTTCGTTGTGCTCCTTGGCATCAGGGCCAGGCTGGGCAAGCAGGCGCAGGAGCTGGGCCTGGGAATATAGGCAAACTGATCCAGAAACCTGAGGAGGGAGGCTGGGCTTGCAGGGGCAGACGTCTTCGCTGAGCTAGGCTGGGGGTGGTGGCCTGAGGGGTGATGGCCATTGGTGCTGGGCTTTTGGGCCATTAAACGTAGTCTATTTGACAGGGTTGGAATTCCTTCTCCTCCATTTACTAGTTCTGTGACCTTCAGCCAGTGGCTTAATCTCTCTGAGCCTCAGTTTCCTCATCTGTGAAATGGTGACAATAGCATCTCCCCTGAAGAGTGACCTTCAATCAGACAGTACATTAAAAATGATTAGTGCTGTTCCTGGCAAATAGTAGGTGCTCAGTAAACACAGCTATTATCTTTCTAGCCTAAGCAGCAGTCTTAGTTATTGATCCTGGTGGTTCCATTCGGGGGAGTGTCAGCCCTGTGCTCTGCCAGCCAATGACTCCATATGTCATTCTGCCTCTTAGCACTTTCTCCAAATCAAAACATCTTGCCTCAAACACAGCAGATGCAGGGACTGGTCTGGGCGCTCTCTTCCCAGGAGAAGCTTTGCAGATCTGCCTCTCTCCTTGGTGATGCTGGGAAGCTGGGGGTCGGGAGGCAGGCTGAGGGCAGGTAGGTGCTCAGGACGGCCGATCACTCGTGTATCAGCCATCAGCCGACCCAGGCTCAGCTCATCTGGGCAGTTTGGCGCTCCACAAGCCTCTTGTCCTCTTCCTGAGACAGCGGGCTAGCCTGGGCATGTCCTTGTCTTGGTGCCGGCAGAGGGCAAGAGGGCGGGCCCAGTTGCTCACTATGTCCACTCGGCCAAGGCAAGTCACATGGCCAAAGTCAAAGTCAAGGGGCAGGAAATACACACCAGCTCTCTTGGGAGAAACTCTGGAGTCCTGCAGGACAAGGGTGTGTAATTGGGGCCATGGATGCAGTCTACTACAGTGCGGGAGGAGCTGATTTTCTTTAATAAACACAAAATTTTATTTTCTTTATTTTCACAATGGGGATTTATTCCATGTGATTGTGAGAAACATAAACTTGGAAAGCATAACAAAAGTTTTATTTAATTTACGTAATAAAATAAAGGGCTTATTCCTGGTAACCCTTCTGTACTTTCAGACTTGTCAGCTAACAAGGTCGATGGTAGGGGTGGGGGTGTCTGGAATTGTACCTGAGACACACACACAGGCACCTTCCCCGTAGCTCTCTGGCTGCCCAACCAGCAAACCCGTTCTTGCCGTTGACGCTGTTATTGTTGCTTCTTCCACTTGGGAGCGCTGTTGACTTTGATGGGAGCTGGACCCATCTATATTTTACTAGTTCTGTAAAGCATCACTGGCCGTGGAAAGCTGAGTTAACTAGCTCTGAGCTTCCCATTTATTTCAGATACGTAATTGTGCTTCTCATATGTCAATGCCCCAGGTTCTGCCCAGCTAGCCAGTACTTCTGGTTGTGTCTGTGGGTCTCCATGACGCCGTGAGCTTTTGGCTCCAGAACTCGGAGATGCTATACAGGAACCTAAGGTTCCTGGTCTTCGTCATGCTTCCTTCCACTGGGACTGGGGTGTGGAGTACGGGGAGAAGGGGCCTGAGAGATGAGGAAATGCTAACCACCTTGCAAACAACCTAACCTTTTCGTGCCTTAGTTTCTTTATCTGCAAACTGGGGATGCTGTCTTACAGAGTTGCCATGAGAATTATATGACATAATTCATTGAGAGCTTAGAACGGTATCTGGCAAATAAATACCCAATTAACATGTGTCATTCAGTGTCCCTGGAGTTCTCTGGTACGTGTGGACACAGCTAACATATGAACCCAAAGATCCAGGATGCAGGAGTGTGGCTGAGGAAGGAGGCTCTAGGGCAGAGGTCCCCACTCCCTGGGCCACCGGTCCGTGGCCTGTTAGGACCCCGGGCTGCACAGCAGGAGGTGAGCTGCGGGTGAGTGAGCGAAGCTTCATCTGTATTTACGGCCGCTCCCCATCGCTCACATTACCGCCTGAGCTCCGCCTCCTGTCAGATCAGCGGCGGCGTTAGAGTCTCATAGGAGCGCGAACCCTGCTGTGAACTGCGCATGCGAGGGACCTAGGTTGCGCGCTCCTTATGAGAATCTAACACCTGATGATCTGAGGTGGAGCTGAGGCAGTGATGCTAGCGCTGGGGAGCGGCTGCAAATACAGATCATCATTAGCTGAGAGGTTTGACTGCACGGAGACCATAACAAATCAATGGCTTGCAGACTCATCAAAACCCCATCAGTGAGCAGCAAGTGACAAGCTGCATCTTACGGAGTAGACTGGACACAAGCCACACACTTCAGGTGTCACTGTCTCCCATCACCCCCAGGTGGAACCATCTAGTTGCAGGAAAACAGGCTCAGGGCTCCCACTGATTCTGCATTATGGTGGATTGTATAATTATTTCATTATATATTAGAATGTAATAGTAATAGAAATAAAGTGCACAATAAATGTAATGCACTTGGATCATCCTGAAACCATCCCCCCAGCCCTGGTCCATGGAAAAATTGTCTTCCACGAAACCTGTCCCTGGTGCCAAAAAGGTTGGGGACCAATGATCTAGGGGGCTTGGGCCCTAGGAAAAGGTGACCCTGCCTCATGTTTTTTCCCATTCTGACGGCAGTGCCAAGTCCACTCTGAGGTTGGAAGGAGGTCATGCTAAGAGGCAAGGATGCAAAGAAGGGACCCCTAGATTTTTATCAGAGAGCAGTTTCAGGAGAGCTGGGACTGGAGACCCATGATCCACGGTGTAGAGCTGATAGGAGAACAGAGTGTCTGCTCAGTGCCAGGCATCCCGAGCATTAGCTCTTTTACTCCCCCAGTGACTTCCACGTGGTCCTCATTTCCCTCCTACAGAGGAAAGAACCAAGACCCAGAGGCAGGCCCAAGGTCTGCATGACTCTTCCCGGTAAGCCACACTGGAGCTTTGCATGTTGAAGGTATCAAGTCGAAAGCCCTTTGTTTCGATGGTCTGCTGCAGGAAGCCCATATGTCCATGAGAAACTTATGGACTTTCCCTTTTACCCTCTGTTTCCCCATCAAGGTAGTGAGCCCCAGACTAACGGCATGTTCCCGGCATCCCCACTTTATCCCAGGCCACTTGGTCCCACAGGGTGAAGAGGACAGCTCCCAGATGCCATGTGTTCCATTAGCTTTTCCAATGGTCCTGAGATGAGCCTCCGCTTTGGGAGCTACAGAGTCCACAGGATACATGGTATATCTTGGCAAGCAGCCAATACACCAGGAGGAGGCAATGTGGTTACTTTTGTTGCCCAGCATCTCCTGGCCCAACTGATGACAGTGAGGTTTGTGAGGGTAGTTGAGGTCATGGCTGTTGCCCCAGCGGGACAGAGTCTGTCATTCCATTTTAAGGTCACAGTCTGAACTCCTGACCTTAGCCGGCTCTGCCCAGATGTGTGACCCAAGCCACCAGGGGGATTGAGTCTGGCTTGGGTCAGGTCCACTGCTCCTGTGGGATAAACAACTCAAGCGCCCACAGCCTTCCTGAAGCTGAGTCACTTGTAATCACCATCTCTGCTCGGAAAGGGCAGCATGTGGTCAATATTATTCTGGACACAGGCTCTCCGACCCAAGCCCTCCTGCATACGCTCTGGCCCATAAGGATTTCTGGCATCACTGGAAAACAGCATGGCAAATGTGACAGGGGCTGGTGTGGTCCAGTGTCCCCTGGCTGGTTGGCTTTCTTGGGATGACTGTCTTCAAGCTGTGAACATGTGACTCCAGTTTTGTTTCGGTTCCTTGCTTAGCAGGGTGAATATAGTGTTTATGGAAAAGCGTCTTATCTTTGTCATCATCCAAGCAGTGATATTTATGGAGCACTTGCATGATGGCTGTGCTAGGGCTGCCGGGGTAAACAAACGCCGACTCTGTGGGGTGCAGAGGGCCCGTGAGGAAACAGGCGACCAGAAGACGCTGGGGAAGGAGTTTTAACAGGGGCAATCCCAGGGTGGGCTGGGGAGGGCCGCCAGCCCAGCCTCCCCAGAGGAAACAACAACTAAGCTTAGCTGGAAGGATGCGTAGGAGGTCATCCAGTGAAAAGGTGAGGGAGGTGCGTGTCCAAGAGATTGGAAACCAGAGGTGATGGTTCAGGCTGTTGAAAAGGGCTGGAGCAGGGAGTGTAGAGGGGTGAGACTGCAGAGACAGGCAGAAGCCTGCTAGCCGTGTGAAGGAGGTTGGCTTTCCCCCAGGAGCACTGGGGAGACAAGGAAGGATTCTCCGCAGGGGAGAGGCAAGACCAGATTTGCATTTCAGGTGGCTCCTCAGGCTGCAGTGTGAGGTGTGCATCAGAGGGGACCACGTGGAGGCCCGGAGACTGGCAGTGACAGGGGGCAGGAAATGGTGGCTTGGATGAAGGTGACAGCAGTGAGGGCAAGGATTCACCCAAGGAGCGATGGCTGCATTCAAAAGGCATTTCATTAGATCTGGGCAAGCGATCAGGTGAGGCAGCATTCAGGATGCTGGCCTGGGCAACTGGAGGCTCATGATGCCATTTCCTGGCAGAGGATTGGGGCGGATCTCAGTTCCCTGACCAGGGATTCAACCCAGGGCCACGGCAGTGAAAGCCCAGACTCCTAGCCACTAGACCACCAGGAAACTCCCTCAGAGTAGATTCTGTGTTTAGACTGTGGGCACACTGAGACTGGGGCATGCATGACCCTAACCAGAAGTTTTGCTGAGTTAACTTTCCAGACATGCCAGGACTCTCTCTCCCTTTCTCCAGCAGTTATGTATTGAGTACCTACTATATGCTAGGCACTGTTTTAGACACTCACCCAAAGAGGTGTCATTTAGGCAGCCAGATGTAGCCTCAAATACCTCCTTGGCAAGATCTACCCGCAAACTGAAAACAGGAATTAATGTTCTGAGCCGGTCATCAGACAGAGCTTACAGTTTGTCAAATTGGCAGACACACAGTGACCCGAGGAAACTGTCCCAGAGGGAGAGATATGATAAGACTGATTCATTTATGCTTTAGGGATGCTTACACTGGAATCATACATGTTGCAGATGAAGAAAAAAAAAAATGTCAGTATGAACGCCTGGATTTTTTGTTTGTATTTTTTCTTGAGGTTATGCATTTCACAAATTCAGGAAAACTTCCCTGAGACTTTGAAGAACAAGGCCATCCAAAGCGCGGAGGCAGGTGAGTTCTTGTCACCAGTGGATTCGTCAGAATGTTGCTGACCTCAGGGGTAGCTTGTGGTCTCTATGGAAGGAAAACCAGACCAGAGGCCTGGTCACCAGTCTGTGAGTTCTGTTCCTGCCCACTGCACAGTGTCCCTCGTGTAATAGGTGTGACTGGAAATATTTCCCAAATGCACAATGAATGAAGCCGCTTGGCAAACACATTTTCATATGCTAATGGCCATGATAAATACAGACCTGCCGATGTTAATCAATAGGTTGGATTGGAAGACTAAGCAGAAGCCCATCGGGCCCGGGGCAGCTGTTCTGTGTCCCTCTGGGCTTTAATCAGTCGTGACTTGGATGTCCACATCTGCACTCGTCCAAGAAGACTTATCTGAGGTAGGGTGAGGAGTCAGAGCGGGTCCGTCCAGCTGGGAAGGGCTCACTGAGCCCCACGAGGAGCCTGGACAGGTCAGCTTGTTGATGGTGCTTTTTTGGATAAACCCCACCCCACGGTGTGGCTATCTGAGGTCAGAGCCAGCCTCCTTCCCCGGCGGAGGCTAATCGATTTCTTCTCACCCGTCAACGCTGGTTGATGGTGGGAGCAGGGGGTGAGAAGTAGTGTGAGGCTGCCTCCGGGCTCAGGAGAAAGAGTTCCAGATTGGTTGTGATGTCTGCCCTGCACTGCCATCCTGAAAGCGGAAGGGGGCGCAGGGGACACACTTTATCCGCAATTCTGCCCTTGCTTAAAATCACCATTACGGGGCAAGATTCCTTTTAATCCGGCATAGCCAGACTGTCACCTGAGGTGACCGGAGATTTGAGGTGAAAACCCAGGTTCTCAACTCCCAGCACCAAACAATATCATACAGTGGGTGAATAACAATAATAATAACAGGAGAGGAAACAGGTACCCAAAGTCATGCGGTCAAAATAATAGCAAAGCCAAGAAATACGTAGATGGGGCTAGTGAACCTCAAGGTTCTGTCCAGCGCTGGGATTTAGGGTTCGGGGGGAATCACCCCGAGCATGGCTCCCTTCCTCCCAGCTCTGTGCTAATTCAGGGGTCCAGCCTGCAGAGCCCCCCTTGCCCATAGCCTCTCATGTCTCACCTGGATCCTCCATCTACCTTCCTATTCAAGTCTCTTCTTTTTCTCTTATCATCTTTGCCACCCCGGGTGAGACTCCCCAGCATAAATCCTTTACAGTTTGCAAGGAACCCTCCTCACACTGTAATCCCATTTCATGCCTGTGAGCTGGGCTTTCTGATGATCTCCATTCCCTCGAGAAAAGCAATGCTGATGAGAACCCTGCTCCCTGGTGATGGGGTTTTTTCTATGACATTCAGGTGGGTAATAATTAGACACTAACAGCCCGGGTAGCAATTTTGCTCCCCAGAGGACATTTGGCAATGTCCGGAGACATTTTGGGTTGTCACAACTCCTGGGTGGGGCGGGTGATACTGGCATCCAGTGGGTGGAGGCCAGGGATGCTGCCAAACATCCTACAGCGCAGGACAGACCCGTCCACAGAGAATTATCTGGCTCCAGATATGAACAGCGCCAAGGCTAAGAAACACTGCAACGGGGGAGGCAAGGTGAGGCCCCCTCCAAGAGTGTCGCAGCCAGCGTCCCTGCCCCACGAAGCTTTTTGCAGCCCCCAGGTTGGAGGGCAGCTTGTGTGCCTCTGTTGGTCGGCAGCTCTGGTGGACGTTTACCGCTTTCTAAGTTACCTTGTGCCCATCGTATCCGCTTGGGAGCCAGGAAGCTCCCCGTGGCTGGAACTTTGTTCCTAGCGAAGCCGCCTGCCCACTCGTTTGCTCGATAACGGGATGGACAGAGAGTACGTGGGAGACAGAGTGAAAGCATCTTCAGGTCGGGGTGTCGTTAAAACATTTGCTCAGCATCCTTTCCTCTCCTCAGGTGTGATTCTCGAATGCCTTGGCTTCAGGTGGGAACTCCATCAGCCCCAGCTTTTTCAGTCCGAGACCCTGACCAAGCTTTACATGATGGCCCTGGCCCGGGGCAACGCAAACCCTGAGAAGGAGCTGGAGAAGCTTCTGCAAGGTATGTTCTCACCCAGAGCAGGACCCCCAAGGGCTCTCTGGTTAGAGAGGCCCCAGCTTGGCGTTCGGTTATCTGTTTGGAGACCACGGTCACTCTGGCAGTTAAGACCAAGGCTCATGGTGTGATCTCATTACAGGATTAACCTCAGTCTCCTCGGCTCTAAAATGGGATAATGGTTCTTATAGTGTTTCATTGTGGAGGAGGTAACAGGTGTGAAGTTCTAGAACAACGCCTGGCACATAGTGAGTAGTCAGTAAATGTCAGTTTTGTTCTCATAATAACCCATTCTTGTCCACCAGCTATGAGGGAGGCCCTCCCTACTTCTTTGAGAAGAGAAAGTGGGTTGTGTTGAGGCTTCTGATGGGCTTTCTAGAAAGAAGGCATAGTTCTGACATCTGTGGCTTGTTTGGCTCTAAGTGCCGGTTGGAGGTTTACAAGTGTACATCAATTTCATTTTTTCTTTTCCTTTTCTTTCTCTTTTCTTAACGCCACCTCATACCCGAAAGTATTTAGGTCACGTCTTTCTTTTTCTCTTTTTTGAATCCTAATAATCCCCAGCTGCCCCTTATCTGGCCCATAAGTTCCTCTCCTGCAGCCTTGCCAGCTTCTTCTCAGGTAATATAGTTGGCATCGCCTCCGGACAGCTCATAAGCAGGTGCCGTGGAAAATTCAAGGTCTCCCAGGCAGCCAGCATGCCAGTCGGGATGGGATTGCATTTCCAGGACGTGGCAGTAAAGCTCTGACATTCTGGAGCCAGACGGGCTGCCGGAGCCCCCAGTCGGGAGACGGAGCCTGGCTGCCTGCCGGCATCTTCCCGGCCACAAAGCCTCTGACTCAGCCCTTCCCGGCCAAGCTGGGAGCCAAGAGCAGGCCGTGGCGTCCCCATAGAACTGTAACAGCTTCACACTTACGATCTTCCTGAGCCTTTGTCCCAGTGTCTTCAAACGTGGGACCGAGCTCTTTCTCCCATGGCCCCTGTGCCCAGATTACAGCCCTTCCTGGGCAACCAGTGGAAGGCCACTGGGGTTCAGACAGTGAGTACAATGAAAATCCAGAGAATATGGAAGGGAAAAATGGAGTTGTCATGTTTTTAGTAAGTCTAGAATGGTCCCACTTAGATTTGGCCCTACTAAAACAGCTGCTGTCATCCAAGCCCCCTGCTAGAGTTTGGGCCCGGCTGGGGGACATCAGGTCACGTGCAGGAGTGAAACCTCAGTGCCTGGGCTGTCAGCGTCCTGGGGTCTCCCCTGCAAGCACCACCAACTGCGTCAGACCCTGGGACTCGTGTCTCCAAGGCTTTCAGTGGGTACAGTCCCAGCCCTTCACGTGCCTTCGATGATGGTCTCTATACGCATCTCACAGTTACTGCTTTTCTGTTCCTGAGAACGTGAGCATCATTCTCCTGGAGTTAGCAGCAGAGGAAGTTTCTGACCAAGCCCTGGAGTGGTGGGCTGAAGAGACACAGCTCCCCTGGAGCAGCCCTGTGCTGGCCACACGGGGCTGTCCCAGCCGCTCACATTCAGGTTCATTCCACCCAGAGCCCAGGATCAGCTGTACCATAGCAGCGTGTGTTTATGCTCTAGGAGGATCCAAAAGCAGACGACCCTCTTTTACTAAAAACAAACCACTTTGGTTTGGGGGCGCCTCAGAAGCGTATGATCAGATTATCACTTTCCTATCAGATTGTGAAGTTTTACTTACAGAAACTGTCTTCCGCGTACTCTGACCTAGCCGATAAGGTTCCTTCCTCCCTTCAAGAGACGTTCAGTACTTAACTTGTGCCAGGCATTGTGCTAGGAACTTAATGTCGGGGAGTGGGGGACAGACGAGCCCGCCTGAAGTGATGATAAAGCATGAGAAATCGTGTGATACATGATGATCCTAGCAGTGCCCCGTGAACACACGCTACGTGTCAGGCACTTGCCAGCATCCTCTTGTTTGCTGCCCCCCGTGGGGGTGAGTGACAGGATGGAGCGGGCAGAGGGGAGGCTGTGCAGAGATCCAGGGAGGAAAGTGAGCCAGAGCCAGGAACAGGGCCTGGCACTTAGTAGGTGCTCAATAAACACTGGCCGAATGCGAGCCTGAACAGAGCCAGGTGCCGAGAACGTGGCGAGGGAAGGCTCGACGGCCTTGTTTGCCTGAGGGAAGTGGACCTTTGTTCTCTTTTTTCTGCATTCTTTGTAGCTGCAAATTGTGACATACTTTGGCCTCCTGACTCATGTCACTTGCGTGCCCTGGCACCCTGAGCTCACTGGCCATGGAATCCATTCATCCATCGATTCGGCCAATACTTATTGAGCACCAGTGTGTGCAAGACTGTGCGGGGCCTGGGGTGGGATGGCAGGCTCACCATCCAGCGTGCCTGCCCGGCCGATCGTAAACCAACAGATACTCGGTGTACTGGCAGGTGGTTGGTCCAGGAGGGAACATAAAGCCAGTTTCAGGGGAGGTGGTGGTGTGGAGCTCCCTTCCATAGCAGAGGGTCAGGCGGGCCCCTGATGGGGAAGAGAGGGAGCGCCACAAATCTCCTGGGCAACAAACCACGAAGAGGCAGGTTTGGGACCTGGTGAACTGGAGACTAGTGGGAGGGTCTTGGGGCTGCTGGAGGGGCTCTGGCTTCGTGCCAAAGACGCCGCTGGAGACCTGAGGGCACCGTGTGTCGTAACTCACATTTCAGAGTAACTCTGAGTGGATTGTGGAGGCTGGCGGTGATGCGGGCTGCCCCTTTGCTTCCCCCTGGAAGCCCTCCGTGGCGGGGGTCCTTTGTTTGGAGCTCCGTGGGGCAAAGTCTCAGGAGCCGCTGGGAGGACGTCTTGGTCCCACACTCATCCTTCAGCTAATGGTCCTTTTGCGCTCTCGCCTGGTGCCAGGTCTGAGCTAGGTGCTCAGGACGCAGAGGTGATGGAGGCCCACTCCTGGCCCTCTCGCTGCTCACAGCCTAAGGAGAGGAAGGGGGGAGGGAGGGAGAGGAGGGGGAGGGGGGTCTGTATCAGTGTGAGCATCAGTGTCCCGGTCTTGCAGTCACAGTGGTTGTGTCAGATCGTCGGGGAAGCTGGCCCAGGGGGACACGGGAACTCTCTGTACTATTTTTGTAACTTCTTGTGAGTCTTCAACTATTTCAAAATAAATAATCATTTCATCGATGTATCCACTAAACCAACAAGCAAACAAAAATGAACAAAATACAGCGTGATCCATGCCAAGATCAAGGCTGCGCGAGCAGTTGTGGGGCTCACGCTGTACCTGCACGGGTCACTGTGGCTGTCACACCTGTGCGTCCTCGTCCTGTTCCCTCCTCTAGCTCAGCTGCCCGGGAAGATTAAAGAACAACGCCCTGTAAAGAAGATGATCGTTTCCTTGAAGGTCAATGACCCTCTGGTCACCGAAGCTGGTAACGTGCACCTGTCCTCGTATTCTGAGAGTGTCGTTGAACAAACTGCCTCTCAGATTTGAAAAACAAACAAAACACCCCAAAGCGGAGGCACACAGTGTTCAGTGCTTCCTTATTAAAAATAGCTGAGCAGCGCAGGGCGGAGGGGAAGGAGGCTGGCACAATGTGGGGAAGTAAAAGAAGGGGGACTTCTGCGAAAGAGAGGTCCCCGTCCTTGTAAAGAGGGGTGAGGAATGCAGAGGAGGGAGGAAGAGGCAGGTACCCAGACAGACCCAGGGAAGATGTCGCTGCTCTTCTGGGCGCAGATGCCCAGGGAAGCCCTCAGGCCCCCCCTTGTCCGTAGGCAACACTGACCCGCCCCTTCCCACCAGGGCCCCTCCCTGGCTGGCTGCTGGCAGCAGAGACCTCCCCCAGGGGCCTCCCTTGGGCTCAGCCCCTCCCCATCCCATCCCGGCCACCTAGACACACCTGTTAACAGGTGTGAACGCACCGTACTGTCACGTGCCATCAGGAAATTATCCACATAATAATTATCCGCACCAGCTGTCCTCGGAGCCCGTGGACTGCCCTACAGCGCTGCTGGGGATCAGGCAGAACTCGGAATAAGCTGAGTCCACGGACTGGCAAATTGATCCCGGCTCGTCCCAGGCGTCCTTAACCTTGTTGAAGATCCCAGACTCTGGGGAAAACCCGCTGTGATGATGTCATCTCCAGAGAACACAAAACACACCTCATGCACACAGCACTGTGCACACCTTGGGGTGGCCAGCTCCCGGCACAGGCCACAGACCCCCAGTTAGGACAGAACCCCTGAGGCACAGGTTCGGGACAGGCTCACAGAAGATTCTTTCACAGGAGCTCCATGTTTTTTAGTTTCATCCTCAACTCCTTTGGGGGGCTGGGAGCCCAGGCAGCATCTGCGCCCAGGTCAGAGCCGTTGCGTTTTGTCTAATGCGTCCCTGACCCCCAGCTCAGGGACCCTCATCCAGCGGGAGGGCGCCTGTGCATGAGGGATGCGGGGCTGCAGAGCCCCACGCTGACGGCTGGCCCTCGATGCTGCCTCCCCAGCCTTTGCTGTGGCCCTGCAGAATCTCTACCTGCGCGAGGTAAGGGTGAGCATGGACGACGTGCTGGGCGTGCTGGCTGCAGCCCACGTTCTTCAGTTCAACAGCCTGTTCCAAAGGTAAGGAACCGTGGCAAGGCGCGGCCAGGGCCAGCCCCAGGTGGGATCCAAAGGGGCCCTCCCGGCCCAGCTCATGGAGCATGCCTCTTCCGCGGGCTGGGACATCTGGGGTTTCTTTGCATAGAACACAAGTTCTACGGCCATTAATGCTGATGGAAGGTAAATGAACCAGATGGAAAAGCACTGATGGGATTCATTTTTCTAGAGTATTCTGTCCCTTCTCTTAGGCTTTTTCAGGGATGTGTGCTTACTGCACTCACGTCCTGAGCACAGAGGTGGTATCTTATCGCGAGTTCCAAACTCCTGACGCAGTTCAACAGAGAGGAGATTTAGGGCAGGGGTGCTCTGCCTGGCTTGTTTCACCACCCTAAGCCTCAGTTTCTTCATCTGAGGGAATGAATGAATGAATAAATGAATGAACGAACATCGCATCTTAGCCCAGAGAGGACAGCAGATGCTCTGTAAAAGGCAGGGGCAGGATGTCTTCCAGGGACCTTGCAGGTTCCACTCTCTTTCTATAGAATCCATACAGCCACATTCAGTCCCAGAGATGACTTTGAGTTGGAGCCTCATTCCTGGGGGCACCTGAAATGACTCGGGCCAGCTCCTCAGGCGGGACCATCTCGAAGCCTCGTTGGGGAGGCAGATGCCCCGTGAACCCAGGGACGCAGGCTTTCAGAGGCCTGGACGTGGCCACAGAAGACGCGCGGGGGGGACCAGTCTTGAAAAGGCGCTCCAGCGTGTCGGCCTGGCCAGACTGTGGGGTGGGCGGCTGGCTGTGAGAGATGGGAGGCCCGCCGTCACAGGCAGGGACAGGTCGTGTAGCGTCTCCGGGAGAACCCAGCAGTCTGGCCTTGACCCTGCAGGTGATGGGGTAAAGTCTGGGTTCTCCTGAGAATCCCCACTCCCCTTCCATTGTGTGTCGCATGACTTCAGCTCCGCATAACCTTGTGACTGATAATCGCTACTAAATCATAGCTTCTGCGCGCATGCGTTTCTGAGCGGCTGTTTCCTGGTGCTGTGCAGGGAGATAACTCTGGCCCCAAACCTGGAAGGCCAGCTTCCCTCTTGGAGTGGGGCATCTGGCCACCTTCTGTCTGTGAGCCTCAGCTGCCCTACGGGAGGCCCAGATTCAAAGCCCCATCTTCCTTCCGGAACCATAGCCCTGGCTTATCTGGGGTGGAACCGAGCATGGCAGATTCATTTCCTTCCTCCTTCACATGCCTTGTCTTGAATGCTGGAGCAGGGAGGGCTCTGGGTACCAGCCAAGCCTATCATTCCACTGATGAGCAAACCTAGGCTGCCTGGGGCTGATGGGCCCCGCCCGAGATTCTACAGATAACTGTGGTGGGGCTGGAATCCGAGGCGCAGGAGCCAGGCGGGTCTGGCACACAGCTGGGCTGGGTTGCCTGCCTTTGAGAGGCTGATGGTACTGTTGGCAGGGGTGTGGCAGCGCAAGCCTCAGTGTGTGTGTGTGTGTGTGTGTGTGTGTGTGTGTGTGTGTGTGTGTGTGTGTGTGTGTGTGCGCGCACGCGCCCCAGGTCACTCTGATAGCATCACAAATCCAGGTGCTGGATGGGATCCCAAAGGTCATCTGGGCTGAACCTCCAGCCGGTGCAGAATCACCCAGATGGCTGCTTGAGTCTGAATCACGCACACTCGAGGCCGCCCGTCTCTAGGGGATGAAGTGTGTGCGTGCGGGTTACACAGGCTGCTGTTTGTGAGACTCATGCATCAGTGTCTGCTTTGGCACAACTGGGATCATGGTTGTTGGTTGTTGCCTGCACACACACACACACACACACACACACACACACTCCCTCCCTCCCTGAGGGTCACTTGGGTCCCTCCAGGCTCACAGGGCTGAAAGGGCATTTCCTTCCTTCCAGGTAGGGCTGAACTCCATTTGTGGGCAACTGCTTGGTGCCCTTAGAACTTCTGCAAGTGGAAATTCCCACCCTCCCTGAGCCCAGAAGCAAGTGGCCTGGGTGGCCCCAGGGCTTGCTTTGTGTCCTCCAGTCTGGGAAGCCCAGCCAGTGAGTCTCACAGTGAGAAGGGGGGAGCACAGGTGAAGGTGTCAGCTTCCTGGAGCACTGATTTCTGTATCCCAACTTCAAACCCAGCTAATTCTGCCCGTGCATCTCTACTGGCAAAAACCCACTCCTGAAGAACACTGTGCCTGGTGTGGTGTGGGACCTGAACCTCGCACACAGCCCCTTTCACACCTGGTTTGCCCCTTGCTGATTGGTGAGCTCGGCTCACAGTGAGGCCAGGAGCCGCAGGAGGAGAAGAGTTTTGTCTGTACATAGCAGGTATTTCCAGAAACAGCCACAGAGGCTGGCACAGAGGAGACACTCAGGGAATGGGTTTATGCTGGGAGGGCTGCTTCCTGGCAGTCTCTAGTTTCAAGGGGAGAGTGTTGGGAGGAGGCAGAGGTACCAGGCTGAAGGAGGTCATGGAAATCAAAGCAGAGGGAGCATGTGAGGAGAAGCAATCAGGGAGACTTCCAAGAGGAGGTGGCACTTGAGCTGAGCCTGAAAGGATGCCAGTTGTCAAAAGAGTGAGAGAGAAGAGGACTTCAGGCAGAGGAGAGCATGGAAACTGGAATGTGCTTGGCCACTAAGACCCAATGCAGCTGGAGTTGGGGAGGGGTGTGGAAAGATGAAGGGAAAGGTGGGTGGGGAAGTTAGCGGGAGTCCAGGTCATGCAGACCTCAAAGGTCATGTGAGCAGGTTCTGCCTGGTTCTGCCAGCAGAGGAGAGCCTGAAGCTTGGGCGGGGAGAGTGACCAGAGCCCCTCTGTGTTTTTGGCTGAGACCTTCAGGATGCGGTGGGGACGCGGGAGGCTGGTGTGGGCAGGGAGACCTGTGCAGATGCCCCGGTGAGAGAGAGGAGGGTCTGAACTAGGCAGGGGAAGTGGGAAGGGAGGGGAGGGGGCAGGTCTTCCAGGAGACGGTGAAGATGTAGAATTGATGGGACTCAGCAATCTCACCTGCCAGCGTGCCTGAAAGATGACAGCAGAGTCTGGTGTTTACCCAGCACAGATTTTTCCAATACTCAGGACAATTCCTTATAATGGGTATGATCAGTCTCACTATGGTGAAGGGGCCATCCTAGGATCCAAGGAGGGTGGAGCGTAAAGTGCCTTAACCATGACCAAATTGTTTTTCATTCAGTATTTCTTGCCTTGTTCTAGTAAAAGTTTATGGTGGCTTAAAAGAATACATAAAATAACAGGGCACAAATTGTTCAAAAAGAAAAGAAAAAGGAGAAAGGAAAACAAGGCTGGAGAAGCTAAAATTACATAACCAAACCTACACTCTACAAGTGGACCATACTTTTGACTGTGAGCTCCCTAGCAGCTAATATGAAAAGGGAAACCTGATCAATGACAGTAGATAAAACAAAGAAACCAAAAACTGACTTGGGAGGTAGAACCCTGGGTGTCTTCATCAGATGACATTGAGTGATGTGATGGTCAATGTCCTCAACTATATCCACAGAGTAAAAGCAACGATAAATTTAATAATGTTCTTTCTTGATATTGGCAAAGTCTTCACTTCAAAATGCAACTGAGTAAAAGCTGTTCTTCAGGGGTGTGGGTGTTGGTGGTAATGAGCTCCCCAGCTCTCTGCTGACCTGGCTTAATTGAAGAATACATTTCAGAATATGTGCAAGACTTACCAGATATCCTTTAAGCCTTTGTCCAAGAGCAACATGTATCTTAACTGAGTTTAGGATAACCATTGAGTAATAATGAGTTCAAGATTTTGCTTCTGTGTGAGAGCTCAGTAGCTATTCTCTGGTGCCCTGTTTGATGACACGAACACGTCTTAAGAAAATTGTGCTGGAGACTAGTCTCAGCTGTGACAGGTGAGTCACTGAAACTCTCACCCAGCATATCCACCCCACCACACACCCTGCCCACCCCAGCCCATCTCCTAGTCTTACTCCCCTCACTGCACTGCATCTGGGATCTCCTTGATGTTCCTTCAAAGTAGGGCCCCTGTCCCTGCCTCAGGGCCTTTGCACATCCTGTTTCCTCTTCTTGGAACGCTGGTCTCCCAGTTCCTGGTCTGAACAGTTCTTTGTTCTCCTCCTTCAAGGTTTAAATGTCACTTTTCTGATCATCCCCCCACCAGGTCAGATTCCCCCTTTTTCACATTCCTATGGCACCTTGTTCTTTGACTTTTTAACCCTTAACACAACTGTAATAATGTGGTCACATGTCTAAATGTTTATTTAACGTGTGTTGGGCCCATTGGCTTTATTCTTTGTAACCCAGGGGCCTCGCAGGGTGCCTGGCACATAGTACCTGCTCAGTAAATAGATCTTTGATGAGTAAGTGAAGCAAGTAAATGAGGCCTAGTCGTGAAAAGGACAGAGATTTTCATCAGAAACTTGCTTTTTGAATCTACTCTTGTACAGAGAGGAACAGGACCGGAAGCCCCTCTACAGCTCCGCGATGGTCTGTACAGGAAGAAAATACCTCCAGCAGGGGGACAAACAGATGGTCACCCTGGCTAAAATTAAAACTCAGTAAGGCACTTTAGGTGCTTAATCTCTAAACAGTAATACTTCTCCCTGGTGCCAAGGCTACGTTGTTTCCTTCAGAAGGATTTGACCTTAGGCCTCACCTCCCTCAGCCCAGAGCTCTTTGCAACAAGCCTTGCTGGTCTTGTCCTCCAGCCAAATGTCCACATGCCTAAAATAAGGCTCTTTTCCTTCCCTTCCCTGAAAGGTCTCTGCTGCCGGCGCGGAGTTGAGGTAAAACCTCTGGGGCTGCCCACTTCCCTAAAAGCAGCCTGGGGGCCTCCAGGAACAGCAGTTGTCTCTCTGCAGGTGTGTGACCATGATGATGAACGGACTCACGCCGAGCACCATCAAGGACTTCTACCTGGCCGGCTGCAAGGTGAGAGCAACCTGGACAGGGCACGCGGCACCTGGGGGGCCCTCAGGAGCGCCCAGACTCTGGGATTTCACGCACCAGGCCCAGCTCCAAAGAATCTGATAGCACCAACCTAACAGTGCCAAGTGAACAATCTTTAAAAATCATTTTATGTTTCAAAGAATATTTTAACACTCCAAAAAGTAGAAACGCTTTAATCTGGGGGGTGAGGGGGTGGGGAGGGGAAAGCCAGCGTTTCTTGCCAAAACAGCAGACAACATTCCAGGACATTCTTGGTGGGGTTGAGGGAAATTTGTCGCCCCCTGGGCTCAGTCAGGGTGTCAGGGTTGGCAGTAAATGATGTAATCTAACACTCTGATTATCAGAGGAGAAAACTGAGACCCAAGGGGTGGCGGGGGTGGGGGGGGGGGGGCGGCGTCTGTGATCGGTCACAGACCTCAGTTCAGAGATTTCAGCTTGAAGCCCTGTGGTCAAACCACTTCCCTAGCTGTGTGACCTCAGGCAAGAGCAGGAATTTTGGAGCCTCAGTTTTTCCCTCGGTAAAATAGGAATAATAATGAACCGACCTCATAGGGTAGCAGTGAGGATTGATTTGAATCAACCTAGTGCAGTGCCTTGAGCGTAGCAAACACTCAGATAACGTGGGTTATCTGCTGTCGTTTATGTTTTGAAGAAGCGCTTTGAGCAGCGCGGCCTTCCCGAGAGCACGCGTGTAGCATCGTCGCCTTCCAGCAGAGGGCGCTGAAAGTTCAGGGACTCCTTTCTCCATGCGCTTTTCTTGCCTTCGCAGTACAAGGAAGAGCCGCTCACCACTGCCTGCGAGAAGTGGATGGAGATGAACTTGGTCCCTCTGGTGGGGACACAGATCCACCTCCGGAAAATCCCGCAGGAGCTGCTCCACAAAGTGCTGAGGTCCCCCAGGTGAGAGCTGGCTCCCGGCGAGCTGCCCCTGGGATGGGGGGAGGGAGGTGTTAGGGGGGCCTGCGTCCACACCCCTGCTGGACATGCCCAGTGTGCAGTGCCTTCTCCATCCCAAACGTCCCTCCCTCTTGGACAGCCTGGCCTCGGCGGGGGGGCCCAAACGTGGGTACTGTACTCGGTCACGGGGAAGGGTGCTATTCATCAGAGTAGGGACCCTCGGGGTGCCCGCTGTCTCATTACCCACCTGGTAATTAATTAATTGCCTAAATACTTTTTTAAAACTCTGTCAATATTAAGACACATTCATTGTGGAAACTTTGGAAACCAGGGAAAAGGGAAAAAGGAAAAAGCTCTCACCCCGAAATCAGTTTCTATCTCCAACCCTGAACAGCTCTAGACTCAGACATACCACTGCCGGTATGAGCTCTCTGAAAATTAAGGCTAAAACCCAACTCTTGGTGCCCTGCCCTTTACTGCACCCCCTGCCCAGTGTTCCTTGACGAGCTGCTCAAGCTCCTGGGAGACCACTTCATCCTCCCGCACAAGTGCAACCCATCTTTGTGGGCCTCTGCGTGGGCACCAGCCGGAGGCCAACCTTCCAGGTCTCTCATCTGGACCAGCACAGGGACTTCTACCTCAGGGTCTTGGTCTGCTCCTTACCCCCTTGCAGTCGCATCTTTAACCCAGGGGGCTTTGGCTCTGCCTATCCAGCTGCTCTGTGTTACCCATGTGGCAACCACAGAGCTTTCCTTAGACTCTGGCCAGTGCCTGGCCTTTTAGGTTATTTCCAGTGTTTCACTGATATAAATAGTACCTTCGTGACATCGTTCAACGTACATTTATTTTCATCTCATATTATTTTCCCACAGAGAATTCCTAAAAGTGAAATTACCAAGCCAAAAGGACTTTGTTTTTTATTAGTATTTAAAAAAATATTTTATTTGAAAATAATTTCAAACAAATTAGATAACAAGAAAAGTACAAAGAATATCTCAGTACCCTTTACCCTGCTTCGTTCAATCTCTGTCCTGTTTGCTTTATCATTTGCATCTGTGTGTGTATCTATTAACACACATTTTTTAACCCTTTGAGGGAAAGTTGCATATATCATGTTCCCTTACCCCTGAATGCTTCAATGTATATTTTCTAATAAAGAGAATTCTTCTGTTATAATCCCAGTGCAGTTAACAACTTCAGGAAGTTTGACATTGATGTGATACCTTACACAAGTGATGCATTGACTCAACACTGTCCTTTATAGCATCTTTTTTCCTCCAATGCCGGATCAGGTTAGGAACATGTATTGCATTTAGTTGTTGTGTCTTTGGGGGACTTTTTAAAAGGTTCTTGATACCCACTGCCAAGTTACCAAGATGGTATTCCCTTTGGGTGAATTACAAAACTGAAGACAAAATTCTACGAAAAATTGTGATGGTATATAAGGAAATAAATGTTTCCTCATGCATGTGTGGTGGAAAGCGTTCCGATTTCAGGAATTAGACCTGGAAGGATTTGTTCTCCTGTTGGTTTGAATTGACTCAGTAGCTGGCAATGCCCTCAGACTTACAGGGAAATGAGGTTGATAGAACAACGTTCTGGGTTCTGGTGTTGAGGGAGACCTCTAATCTCTGTATTATCTAAGAAGACCTCAGGAACTCAGGCCCCAAGAGCAATGCCAGGCCCTGCCAGAGGGGAGCCGGGGGCTCCCAGGGTCATTTTGCCCTGCTCTCCATGGCTTTTCCACAAGCGCTTTCTCCCCACCCTCCATGGAGCAAAGGTTGTGCAACCCTTGAAGAAAAGATAAACATGACAGCCCTTAGACTTTTCATGACACTGTCCCTCCCTTGGAAAGCCTGAGCTGTCTCACCCCGGTAACATTTAACCAAGGAAGGGAAAAAGAATGTCTGACCACAACCAGAATGTTAGCGATGGGATACGCCCTAGAAAAGGCTGGCTGGGCAGGAAAAGAGGTCAAGAATATTACGTGTCAGGCGTCTAGACTCACAAGTTTGGGGAGACATGACTGATGTGGACACTGGGTCCTGCTCCTCTGGCTTCACCCCAGGAGCTGTCTGTCTTCACAGACAGTGCCGGGCTACCTGGAGGGAGGGAAGAGCCTGGGAGGCCTCAGGCATGTCGTCAGCATGTGTGCCCCAGAGGGACCAGGCCCTCAGCTCCTGGACCTTATGCTGCCGTCTTGTCTTCCGAGGTGAACTCTCCTCGCCTGGTTGACGTCCAGCTGCCTTGAAGCTGGAGGGAGGTGGGGAACAGAGGGCATGGAAAGAGGGGCCTTGGGCCACACCCAGCGCCCGGGGAGATGGTTAGAAATTTACCAGGCTTCTCATCTTAGTGGCTGGTGGGCCTGACACCACGGACCACACCTGCTTAAGAAAGGAGCTTCGGGTGAATTAACTTTTACTGAGCACTTCTGGGTGTGTGCTGTGCTGTGTGCACTGTCCCTTTTAATCCCCACAGCGCTGTGCGGTAGGTACAGTTATTGTCCCTAAGATAAGAGGGATGATAAAAGACAGGGCTAGGCTCGAGCTCAGGGCTCCGGTTTCCAAGGTCCAGGTCCCACCCTCACTGCTGCACCGTCTCCTCATTTGTAACAGAGGCCAGGTTTCCCAGCAAACAGAACTCAGCAAGCACTGGGTTGTCCTGGGAAGTCACATGGCCCCAGGGCATCTGTGCAGAAAGGCCAGCTGGGGGTCAGGGATGGAGAGTCCCTCAGCCCCACTTAGCGTAGACTGTGACCCATCCCTCGCTCGTGGGCGTGGTGCTTGGGTCTCTAAGCCTTTTGGGAACAACATCTGTCTCAGCAGGTGCTTCAACTTCAAGGCCATTCACCTTCCCCATCCGAAGTCCCTTTGACCTCATCTTCCTTTGAGTTTTCTTTCCATCTTGTAAATGACCTGTGGTAAAACACACAGTTTCCCTGACCTCCTGGGCCTCTGGTTTTCAGTCAGTTTTCTCCTTAAAGGTCACCACTCGGTGACCCTGTTTCACTCACTCTAATATTATGAAAACTTCATTCTGAATTCTGTTTTTCTGGAAGCCAAGCTCCTTGTAGACTTAGGAGAATGGAGGACTCAGAGGGCTGTCTAGTTCCACCTGCACGAAAGGCTGCCCTGCAACCAGGGGGGCACGTGTCCCACCACCCCCAGACTTCCTGTCTGTGATGCAAAGAGTCTTGAGGGCTCAGGAATTCCCTGAGAAAAGCCACCGTGTCCTCCACGGCATTTGGAAAACCACTGGGCAGCCCTCTCAAACAGTATTTCCTGCAGCTAATGCTTCTCTGGCTAATAACAACAATACCTACCAATTATGAAGCACTTGGGGTATACAGAACACGCAGAGTGGGTTTTCAGGTCTAATTCTTACGGCAACCCAGGGAGGTATTCCTTGTGTTTTTCCCTGCGGAATGGAGATTATAGGACGTGAAAGGATTGCTCCTGCCATGCAGCAAGAGGGTTGGGAATTGAACCCAGGTCTGAGTGGCCTCAATGCCCGTGGTCATTACCAGCCCACTGGTGTGCTCTGCTCCAGGCTTTCTTATTCCTTATTGATGGTCAAGATCAATAAGGACATGGAAGGTCATATTTTTGATTATAAAAAAAGTTACAGAGGTAGGAGGATAATGCAAAACACAATTGGACCCACCTCCCCAAATGAACAGATGGTAGCATTTTGTCCTAAGTTAAGAAATAAAACATGACCAGGAAAGCAGAAGTCCGCTGTGTGCTCCGCCCAACTCCCCGCCCAGCCCTATTCCCCTTCCTTCCTCTTGGCCTCCCGCCCTCCCTAAAGTGGAGGATTTGTGTGAATCCAGTCCATGAGATTATATTCTTGTTACATATATGTACATGCGAAAATAATGCAGAGTATGGTTTTGCAAAGGTTTAAATTTCAAATCAACTTCTTCATAGTGATTGCACTGATTGTGACCTCCTGCAACGTACTCTGTTCACTAACATCACGCGATGTGTTCTCGCCGTATTGATATGTATGTACCTAATTAGCATTTTAAATTTTAATTGTTGTACAGGGCTCTGATGAATGAATAGACAGCAGTATTTTCATTCCCTTCCTAATGGCCTTTTGTTTTATTTTGCTTCATTTTTGTGATGACAGTCAGAGCTGCAGTGGACATCCTTGTTCATATTTTCTTGTTCACTTGGGCACGGCTTTCTCCATGGTCTGTGTTCAGAAGGAGATCTTTATTGTTTATACACAGTTTTCTCAATAAAAATAGAGGACAATGTCTTGTTAAAGGCATTTTTACACCAGTGACATCCCAATGGCTACTTGTGAGCCCCAATAAGAACATGTAGAACAGCCCAGATGTTCGCCTGTGTCGGGGGGAAGTTTAGGATCTCTGTGAGTTCCGTCTTGATTCAGATCATCAGAGCTCTTAGGTAAATGGAAATATGTTTGAATGTCCTCAGCGTGATTATTTCCTGTAGGAACTAATACTTTAGGGTACTAATACTTGGCCTAAAGACAGAGGGCTTTATTTCAATAATTACCCTTCATCATAAAAGTAAAACCAGGGTCCTGATTCAGGAGCTCCCAATTACTCCCCTTGTGTTGGTAAGCTCCTCTTTGGTAAGATCTCAAAGAACTTTCTGGGCTTGAGGACCTCAAGCGTGGGTTCTGCACCAGAAGATACGTAGCTCCCCAGCCCAGCAGTGGTCGAAGAGTTCCTTGTGGGGACATCATACCAAGTGATTCTGTGATGTCTCCCCTCTTGGCTCACCGTTATTGCCCAGACAGTGACAAATTTGGTCACTGTCTGGCCAGAGTCAAAGCCCACGCATTATAGGTGCCTAAAAAAAATAAGAGGAAAGAGACCGTTCTACTGTGTCCAGAAATAGCAAGAGGGGCAGGAGAGTGACATTCCCATTGCTCTTTAGAGTCACGGTTTAGCTTGGTTTCCACCCACCATGACCACTAAAGTGGTGGTTGAAGAGGCTAGGGTATATTTTGAAGCCAGGGTGCATCTCCATGGTCAGAGACAGAAAATATCAGTGGGTTTAAGAAACATTGAAGTGATTCAGAGAAGCAAGTTGGCGGCAGCTCTTAGAGGAGCCATTTGGGAAACATCCTTTACAGAGCTGATTCCATGGAGAGCAGCACCCAGTTCTCCTTCTCCCTTCTTCCTGATGAGATGCCTTGTGCGGCTGCAGGCACAGTGTGGGCTCTGGAGCCAGGACCCAAACCTCTCGGTGGGCCACTCGGAGCCCTGCCACCCAGGAGTCAGAGCTGCTGCCCCCTGAGCCCATTACTGTGCCCAGGCACTGCTCTATGTGTGGTCAGCTCAATAATGGTCCCCCAAAGATGTCGACATCCCAAGCCCTGGAACCTGCGAATATGCTAGGTTGTGCGGCAAAGGGGAATTGAGTTTTCAGATGGAAATAAGGTTGCTAATTGAATGAGCTTGGCATGGGGAAGTTATCTTGGATAATCCGGGTGGGCCCAGTGTAATCACAGGATTCTTCAATGTGGGAGAGGCAGGAGAAAGAGTCAGAACCAGAGAGAGATTTGAAGATGCTGTGCCGCTGACTCAAAGACGAAGGAAGGGGCCGCAAGCCAAGGGGTGCCAGTGGCTTCTAGAAGCTGGAATAGGCAAAGCAATGATTCTCCCCTGGACCGTCAGGAAGGAGCAGGGCCCTGCCCACACCTTGATGTTAGCCCAGTGAGATCCATTTTGTACTTAGGACTTCTGGAGCAATAAGATAATAAATTCGTGTTGTTTTAAGCCACTCGCTCTGTGGCAATTTGTTGCATCAGCAATAGGAAACTCATATGACGTGTCGCCTCACATGGCCGTCACAAGTATCCTCTGAGCAACTGCTATAATCACTGCATTACAGATGAGGGAATTGCAGCTGCAGGGCCAGTTAGCCTGCAGGAGGTTCCACAGCCAGTCTGGGGCAGAACTGACCCCTGCCCAGGTCTGACCTCAGAATTGTGTGACTTTGGATAAGTTATTCACATTTCAGCCCTCAGTCAGGGCCGGGACTGGAATATGACCAGTGAGGCACTCAGCTCAGGTGCAAAATTTAAGGGGCACGTAAAAACCTCAGTCATTGAGATAAAATGTATTTTAATGCAATATTTTACAGTGAGAATTCATGCCAACAAAACCCCATGATGAAGAAAACATTAAATTTTTAAATAAACGTAGGGTCAGTCCAATTTCCACATCTATAAAAGTAAGGAATATATCCCAACTCTGCAGGGTTGCTGTGTGGAATTAAATTTAAAAAGTGGAATTAAATTTAAAAAGTACGGAAGCGCCTTGGGAACACTGTCTCCTGGTAGGAGCTCATTCAGTGATAGCCATTGTTTAACAGCAGCACAGCCAGTGGGTGAAAACACAGGCTCTGGTGGTGACAGGTGACTTGAGGTTCACAGTCCAGCCATGCAGGTTACCAGCTGAGTGACCCTGAGCAAGTAACTCGATATGTGAGTCCACCTACAGACTCGGGGTGGTATTGCCTCCTTCCTAAACTCACTTATAATTTTTCAGTTTTTTACACACAGTGTGGTTTTGGCTGTGCCTAAAATTACTTCTCAATCTTTTCTTTTGGCCAGGTTGTTTACTTTCAGCGAGTTCCGCCTTCTGAAAACACTTCTTTTGTGGGTCTACTTGCAACTAAACAGCAAAACTCAGACGATGCCGACGTACGAAACTGTGCTCTCATTTTTCAGCAGGTAACGTGACTTACTGTCGATTGATGAATAGTACATACACTGTTTGTTTGCTCATAATATCATGGGGGAAAGCATCAGTGATATTTTTCATAGCATCATTCAGAGTGCATAGCATGCAGTTTTCTTATGGGATCTAAGATTATGGGATAACTTTGAACCACCAGATTACTTGAAAAAGTGAATAATAGGTGTTATAATATGAGATAGTCCTGTGCCTTTGAGCACGTGTTCTGTGTCCAGTAAAAGACATGATGCAAAAGGTGCGCTTTTTATTCAGGAAAGTTACCATACCGTACTGGCCTTAAAAATTTCATACTTAAAATGTACCTAAATCAGACCAGATCGTTCTCATTTATATTTCACTAGTTAGCCTACAACATTCTGAATTTTCTGGACAAATGAAAAAGCATTTGAATGTACAAAGATTTCATAGCATTAATCTAGTCTCTTAGAATGTCTAAATTTATAAATTCTAAAAGTTATATATCTCAACATTCAAGTGAAAAATAACAATTATCGTATAAGAATGGGCACCATTTCATTATGCTTACTAAGTGCAATAATTCTGATAAACACTTTCTATTTGTAATCTCATTTAATCTCCCTAGTACTCAGGGGCTGGTTTTATTATTCCCATGTTACAGATGAGGAAATTGAAGTACAGATGAATACCTTGTCAGAGATCATACAAGTGATAAGGGACGGAGCCTGACTTGAACCCAGACCTGCCAAATCCCAAGACATTTTGCTGCCCATTCCTAGGATGGCAGGGAGGATTTCTCTCTTGTGCCCGCTGCAGCTGGTTCAGTCGTGAATCCCTGGGCATGGTGTCTAGAAAGATCCTGAGGCTGCCTCTAGGTTCAGTGTTGTTGTCAGCCAATTACTTCTAAAATTGCCTGGCAGTGCATCTTCTTCCCCTCCCTGTGTCCTCCTCTGCCTGTGTTTTCTGTCTGTTCAACCCCACTGGCAACGTCAGCTGTGGCAGCATGGGACAGGGGGACAGGGTGGGGGTGAGGGTGAAGGCAGTAATCCATCTGGTGTCTCTTTAGCTTCTGTTAAAACTTTGTAAATACACTCGCATCATCCAGGCTGGTTGCAGAGTGTGATGGCCCCGTAGCCAAAGACAGCGCCAGGAGGATCCGCCCTAGACGGGCAGGCTTACCTTCACGATCAGGTTTACGTTCTGTTCCCCATATCGGCAGGGACGGGGGCTTCCAAGCAAGATAAGGTGCATTCAGGGGAGTCAAGAGATTCCTTTTCTTTTGCACACGTGACTTTAGCAGATAAACACATCTTCCGTGTGTTCGTCAGCACATCAACCTGTTTAAGCCAAGTTTTGCTTGCATTGTTCTGACGCAGTTAATCCTTTTCTGGAACATCTGTGCACCATGTCAAGTAAAGAGCCCCTTTTTCCTGTCTCGTTATTTGGGGAAAGCAATGTTCATTGCCAGAATGACATGTCCTTGCTTAGTTTCTATATAATTTGCTTTGAACCCAAGTGTCTTAGATACACCCTCTCCCACTCTTTTAATAGCCCAAAAGACACTTTTTCTGATGAGTCATACACACCAGGAAAAGTCGCTGTTTGGCACCAGGTTAGCTCTCCTACTGGAAATGTCTAGAACTGGGAGATAGGAAATGAGCTAGAATGTGGGTGATTCATTGGAACTGTGTTTTTACTGTGAGAGAAACAAGTGGGAGTGAGAGAGCGAAGGCATGTGGCCTGCCTGAGCTGGGGTCTCCAAGGCTCCCCCCGTCCTCGGGTGTTCCTTACCAGCATAGCTTCTGCATTACTCCTGAATCGACATCGATTCCATTTTGACCCCAGACCTCAGCCCTCCACACGCATTTCCCCAAGGCCCCCTGAGCCTGCAAGGTTTCCCTTGTTGGAAACCATTCGTGTGTCTCCAAATGGTCTTGCTGCCCAAGCTGGGATGCTGTCCTCTACCTAGAGCCGTGTTCTCAGACTCCTGCCCTACATCCCTTCTTCCCTCACTCCCTCTCGCTCCCTCCAGCAGGCTTGGTGTCCCCTTGGGAGAAAAGATGAGACAGTCTGGAACTCAGATGCTCTTCCGCTCCGTGGTCACCCAGGCTTACCTCCGACTTAGAGGACCGTGGCCCATTTTTAGGACCGCGGGTGGTTCACCTCCCGTCCCAGCTCACTCTTCTGCCCATAAGGTGCTCCATGGTCAATGGCCTCCACCTCCCAAGTGCTTGTCCCCTGAGTCCCCGAGGGACTCCTTAGCCGAGGGGTCAGCACTTGCTGCCCCGGCTCCCCTGACCCCAGCCTGCTCTGCTTCCTCTTCTGAGTCCATCCCGGCGGGGCCTCCCTAGGAGGCTTGCCAGCCAGGCCCTTACGAACACCTTGGTGGGTGCATACGTCCTGTCTCCCTGGGTAGGTTGTGAGCAGCTTGTAGGAAGGGTTTACAATCCTTTATTGCATCCTCAGCTCACCTGGCACCGCGCATATAACAGCTTATGGAATGATGAAATTCCATCAAACATTTCTACAGAGCTGGGTTGCCCCAGCTGAGAAATGGGTCTGACCATGCTAACGCCAAATTCAGAGAACACCATGTCTGCGGCAGCTCGAAATAGGAGGGCTGGCAGACAAGTTTCCATTTTTACTGATGGGTAGGGCCTGTTCGGTGGACGAGACTAGGAAGAGTTCTAAGGCTTTCTCGAGGCTCAGTGAGAAATAATGTCTCGATAGTTTGGTGATGCCTACCCTAGACATGGGAGGGGGCAGCAGTGGTGCCCAGGCTCTGTGCTGGCCTGAGGATCCCTGGGGCTGAGCCTCAGAGCTGCTGGCCTGAGGGCTTGGGCTGCAGGAAGGCACCTCTGCTCCAGTGGTGGAAGGGGTGGAAGTGGTGGAAGTGTGGGAAGTCACGGTCAGCCTGGGCCGGAACTGAGTCACCAGAGGAGCTGAGCTCCACAGTTCAGTGAAGACAGAGGGAACAGCTAGTCAAGGAAGTTTCCACAGCCACTGACAGGGACATTCCAGGAGCCTTAGAAGGTGGGGCAGATGAGCAGACCCTGGGAGACAGTACACAGGCTTGTGTATGAGAGCCAAGGAATTTGGCTGTTTGGCCCAATTTTTAAAGTTTCATCTGTTGATGAAATAATTGAAATGACAGAGTGGTTTATAAGGTATTTCCCAGGTGGGGGAGCAGAGGTCAGAGTGGACCGTCACAATATGGGGACCTCCAAAATGGGATTGTGCTTTCATAATGTGGCAGCAGCGGGACAAGCTGCCCGAATGTTAGACCGACCAGGAATGAGGCAGAGCTGCAACTCTGGGTGTGGCCTTGGCTGGCCCAGTATCCAGAAAGGAGGGTTTAGAGCAGCAATTGAGTGAAATAGATCAAATACTCCTTTTCTCAGCTGTCTTAGCAACGTCTTGAGCTAGGAGGGAAGGTATTTGAATAGATAACTCCTTCAGCACCGCTGTACCTGCAAATAAAGACATAGGTCCAAGCCTTTTCTACTCATCTGTATTCTTTTATTCATTGATTTTTTTTCATTCATTCAACAAATAGTTATTGAACATGTGCTCTATGCCAGGGGCACCGATGGACAGTGAAAGGGGCAGTTTCTCTGCCTAGCTCCATGTTTAAGAACATCTTCAAAGTTTATTTTCATTGTTTTCTAAGTACATCAATATAGAAAGGGAACATGCGTGTGTGTATACACACACACACACACACACACACACACAGCTGTTTTCCTGGCAGTGGTTAATTTAGAAATACAAATAGGCTGTCCAGAATTTAATTTAACATTTCCTTGTAAGAAAAACAAAAACTGTAAGCAAAACCATTGCCTTCATTCGTCCACAGAGGAAGTCATCATTTTGTTTCACTTAGCAGTCTGAGAAGTCCGTGGGGGCTGTAAAAATTCATCAATTGGAGAAGAGCCAGAGACAGGCAAATTTTCTACTTCTTTGTAAAGTTTTTTTTTTTATGTGGACCATTTTAAAAGTCTTTATTGAATTTGATACAATATTGCTTCTGTTTTTTATGTTTTGTTTTTTTGGCCCCGAGGCATGTGGGATCTTAGCTCCCCGACCAGGGATCGAACCTGCACCCCCTGCATTGGAAGTTGGAGTCTTACCCACTGGACCGCCAGGGAAGTTCCGGCACTTTTTTTTTTAAGTACATTTTTCATCAGAATATAAAATACCTACAGCAAAGTGCACAAACCTTAAATGAACAGCTCAATGAATTTCCACAAAGTGCACACACCTGTATAACCAGCACCCAGACCAAGAAACAGAACCTGACCAGCCCCCTAACGTGCCTTATTTCGGTCACTACCTCTGGCACACCAAGGTGAACGGGTATCCTGGCTTCTTTTACTATGGAGATGTCTTGGCTGCTTCTGAATTTTAAATAGAATCTTACAGCGTAGACTTCTAAAGGTCTGGATTTTTTCACTCAACAGTGTGTCCGTAAAATCCATGCAGGGATGGTAAGGGGCTTACAAGGGCGCCTTTTGCAAATTGGTGGTGGAGCTGGGTGGACCTGGGGCTCCTAGATCATCAGACACATCCTTTTACTTTGAGGTCTTCGAGTTAAGGGCAAGTCATGAACGGACCTGTAATTCTAGTCCTTAGTTGATTTGCTAATCCCTAAATGGGTCCCTTTCAGACACTGCAAGGGTGGATTCCAGCAAGCTCACCAGAAGGAGGTCATTGAAAGCAGTCAGTGAATCCAATTTCCACACCATCCCAACTAGTAGATTTCCCTGACCTCTGCAGCAGAGTCTCCTCCCTCCTATGCCCTGTCCAAATCTGACCCAGCTTTTATGGAGCTGGCCAAAGACTCCTCCAGGAAGCCTTCCTGGATCTCACCTGTGCACTGGACAGATTCCTTCTCTGAGCTTCTTGGAGAGAGAACGAGAGCATGTGCCGGCTGTGTGGGTGAGCACCGCCCCGACAAACCCAGCACCACCTTCCCATATATAAAAGGAGGGGAGCCTCCGAGGAGAGCGGCCCAGCCATGCCCTGCACTCCGAGCATCGCAGCCCACAGGTGTCTGAAGGAAATGAACTGTGATGCTGTGTGCCAGGGCGGGCACACAGCCATGTGTCTCTTGTGATTAATGGATGGCATTTGCAGATATAACCACAGAGTCATCATGAAACTGGGCACCCCTGGTGTGACAACTCTGATCTCTTTACCAGAACATTCATTTTGAAGTAGTCCATGAGTCATGGACATGAGGGTGGTTCAGTTGTTCTCTGTCAGAATCTCTCCACCAAGCCCTGTGCAGGGAGGTTGATATATTTCTTTTGTGTTTGTTGCCGTTTTCATTTCTTCTGTGTCTCTGACCAGCGGTGCTCCTATCCGCCTTAGCTTGGCTCCCTGGAAGCTGAATCTCCCTCTTTTCAAGGTCCCAATTCCTTCCTACTTCTGCACTTCCCTCCTGTGTGGCTTCTTGGCCTTTCACCCAAACTGGGTGGCCCCAAGACGTCTTCTTCAACGGTAAGAGTGGAGACTTTGGAGGAACACAAGGAATATAAGTGTCTGGATGCGGGAGGCTCTTGCAGAGGGCAGGTAGCATCATCGTTACACAGAGTTTCTAGACGCAGTTCTGCCTTTGGGCAAAGGTCAGGACCATCTTCATCTTCATAGTCAAGATGACATTGACTGGGTCTCGACAAATGACCCAGAGGACTTGGCCTGACAAATAATCGTGGTAACAACAGACAGGACCCTGTGAGCATAGGAAAATTGGCATAGAATAGCCTGGTCTGTGCATGTATGTGTGTGTGTGGTGTGTGTGTGTGTGTGCGTGCCCACACATGCACTGGGCTGGAACTGCATTCCTAGAAGGTGAAGTATGGTTGAGCAGAGGGATGGGATGGTAGGATTGAGCCTGGTGAGTTGGCAGGGACCAGCTCATTCATCCAATTAATTCACTTAACATTATTGCAAGCTGACTTGCCTGAGAACCAGGCACTGCAAAGGGTGCTGTGAATACAAGAGTAGACAGAACAGACGAAAATCTCCGTCTTCACAGAGTTTACAATCTAGGAAGCAGAGACAAACAGCACATTCAGTAAATGAGGTATGTGTTAGCAGGTAGCGGCCCTGAGTCTGAGTCCCACTACTGCCATTTACTGGCTGCAGAGGTTAACAATACCCCCTCGTCGGGTCTGATGTACGTTCGTTCTGACTCAAAGAAAAGGCCCAGCACAGCACTTGGCAGGACGTCCTGAATGGCAGTGACATTCGCTAGGTGATGGTGGTGGCAGCGACATTCAGAATTATTGTTTCCTTACCACACTTTGGTGTCAGGAGCCAAGAGGACCGTTTCCTGCTTCTTGGGTTTCAGAAGGCGTCCAGGTCTTCCACACCGAGTTACCTTTTGAAAAAAGCCTTGTTCCCTTCCCCCAAGTGTGTAATTTTTTTCAAACTTCACTTTAAAATATAAACTATTCTTTCAGATATTTTTCATAGAAACTAAGTAATTTTTAACTCTAATTTTTTTATTGTGGTAAAATATACACAACATAAAAATGACCATTTTAACCATTTTTGTGTGTACAGCTCAGGGGCATTAAGTACATTCACGCTGTTGTGCAGCAGTCGCCATCATCCATGTCCAGAACTTGTTCATCTTCCTAAACTGAAACTCCACGCAAACTAAACAATGAATCCCCTTTCCCCTCTGCCCGTGCCCGCCGCCCCGGCAACCACCACTCTACCTCCACCTCTGTGAATTTGATTCTTCTAGGAACTTACGTAAGTGGAATCATACAGTATTTGTCCTTTTGTGTCTGGCTTAATTCACTTAGCACAATGTCTTCAGGGTTCATCTGTGCTGTAGCACATGTCAGAATTCTAGAGTATGCATTTAAAAGGCAAAAATTTGAAGTGCTGGGCTAATGGGTCTCTGAGTCTGAAAGGGTAAATGACTCTGACCGATGACAGGCTGGAGGAGGCAAGAAGGTCGTGGCTGATGGCAGCTCTAAAATGCCAACCTGTGCCAGTCTGACAGAGACTTGTTCCCGGCACTGCCTTTCAGGAGGTCAGAAGGGAGGATTTGTCCCCAGGGTCTTGCAAGCAGAACCCAGAGCCGACCTGGGTGTATCTTTCAGTATCAAGGACCTATGAACTGTCCTCCCTAAGGGGGTCATGCCCCAAGGGTTTCCCATGAACTTTAGGAGGCAGACACCATGACCGGAAGCTTGTCCCATAATAGTCAGTGCTAAACCCAAAGTCTTTGCAGAGACAGAGCTCAGCGCCCGGGGAAGCCATGCCAGCCTTTGTTTCCACCAAACAGGCATGCAAAGAGGTCCCGACGCAGCAGCCAGCTTCCCTCACTTTATGTTACATCAGGTGAGCGTGCTCATCCTTGGCCCAGAGAATCCAGATGCCACGACCCAGCAGCGGAGTTGAGCCGGGTTAGATGGAAACACGTGGGCTGTTCTCTGGAGGCCCGGGCAGTGTCCCAGCTCTGCAGCCATCCACCCGCCCGGCTCCAGGGGCAGGGTTACGCCCATTGGTTCAAGGCGCTGGACCACACTGCTCAGATGCTTTGGGATTTTAGAAAATCAGCGGCTGAGGCCACCGTTTACTTCCTTTGAGGTGGCCCATGGCTCCGGCGAGTTAGAGGGTGGCAGTGATAACGCCAGCAAGAACACGGCCATGCACTTGACCGGCTCAAGTTCAGGTCACTTTCCTTGGGGTGAGGGGACAACGGTGGCAATCATGAAGCCCGGAGTACCACTAGGACCAGCAGCTGTGCCCGGCATATCAGAAGCTCTGTCACCTTTACTTCTCCCGACCACCCAGGGAAGCACGTGTGGCTGTTGTGCCCCCGGACAGAAAAGGAAGCTTGGGGAGGCTGGGTCACACGGCTGACGGCCGGCTGGCCCAGGACTGGAACCTGGTCTGTCTGACTCCAGGGCCCAAGCTCAGGGACCCCAAGCATGGTTGGGCGATGCATGAGCTGACTTGTGACCTGTCCAAATCAGCCATCATCAGTGCCACTTCCTGTGGTCCAAAGGGGTCATAAAGTCCAATCACCTGTCTCAGCAAAGCTCATTCAGAATCTTCTCGGGGAGAATGTCTGTCTGGAGAGGTCCTGGCTGACGGTCATCTGGCTGAGTGCCTCTCATAGGGAGACTCGGGGGCCTTGGGTCCCTCCTACTCTCCCAGCATCCTTCCCACAAAGCTGTGGAGTTGGCGCCTGGGGGCTTCTGAGCTGGAGGGGAAATCTGTCCTCTAGATGGTCCTTTCCCTCCTGGGCTGAAATTGTATTAACCTGCAGCTCCAGCAAGTTCTGTCTCCTCAGGGGCCACTCCGGGCTGTGGGAGCCCTTGCCGAGGGTCCGGGCTCGTTCCCCAGAGCATGCAGCTGGGCTGGGGGTTCTGCGTCAGCTCAGCCCCTTCTTTCTTCCTTGACGCCTGCGCCCGCCATGATGCCACCTAGCCGATTCTTCCGTTAAATGGTGAGAGAGAGGCAGGGAAGGAGGAGGCATTCACGTCTGGGAAAGGAGTCAAGCGAGCGTTATTTGTCCAGCTGAGAGATCCGTGTTTCTCAGGGCACTGGCACGGCCCACACTAGCCCAGCTCCACCTGCCCTGGGTAATGGAGGGCTGGATCCAGGATCAATAGCCCTGCACTCCTGGAAGTATCAGCCCTCCTTTATTTACGCCTGGTCCGTCCACCCCCAGAGACAGCTCCCCGGTGGATTCTAATAAATAATCATTGAATTTGAATTCGCTCATTTGTCCTCGCGCCCCTCTCCCCTCTCACAACGCCTCAGAATCCTTAAACTTCTCTCCTGGGACCAGTGCCACGAGGAAGAGTTGGAGAGTCTCAGGAATTCCCAGATCTTGTGAAAACAAATGGCCCCCAGGCAGGTTGGTGGGCACCCCCAGCAGAGGCGGGACACGGGGCCAATGGAGTGTTCAGTCTGGCTGGGACAGGGTGTGATTTGGACATCACTCTTGATTCATGGAAAAATATTCTAAAAGTGCCTTTGGCCGGTCTCATACAGGATCTGACTTGAGGGAATGACTTTGTGTTTCCAAAGTCACTGGAAAAATTATCCCCTGTCGTCCCCATTTGTCAAAAGTGACCATTTTATGCAAGTTGTTTCAAAACAAGACTGGATGTGTGCCTGTGTGTACATGTCTTCTCAAGGGGAATGTGATTTCAACCCAGCCCTGACCTCAGCCACGTGTGGAAATTAACCAGAGTTTAGTATTAACACTGTCCAGAACTGATCCTGGAACCAGCTGCTAAAACGAGTTACGCACTCATCCGACCTTTCTTTCTTCTTGATTCTACCAGAACGTGCTTTGGAATTGCCTAAACTGGCCACTTACTCAAAGGGCAGCACGTGTAGAGGGGGAGTCAGAAACCCTGGGTTCAAGTCCTGGCTGAGCCGTTGTTTTTCCATCTGTAAAATGGAGCCGATGATACTTGTCCTGTCTGCCCCTTGAGAAGTTTGTGAGACTCAAGTGAGAAAACGTATCCTGAAATCCTCTGTACCGTTATGCGTTCCCATCATCATTTAATGAGCATTTGTCGGGCACCTACTATGCGGTAGATGCAAGGGGAAGATAACCCTTTGTCTCATTACAATCTCGGGGGGCAGCCCCCCTCTGCTTCCACACTCCCCACCCATCCAGAGAGAACCAGGCTCCATCTACCCCTGGCTGGTGAAACTGCTGGTCTCTGACATGACTTTCACGAGCCCCGGCCAATTCCAGAAAGGAGGGTTCTGAAGGCCTTTTATTCCTCTTTGCACCTTGCTAAGCTTCCCCAAGAAGTGTTGCTTTCTGGACCGGGATGTGGGACAGAACTGGATGCAGCTCTTCCTTTGCCTGCGTCTGCACGGCATCACCAAAGGTAAGCCCCAGCCCGTGGGAGCGCATCCAGGGGAGGCTGTTGGGGACCTGCCACACCCCTCAGCCACTCCTGAGGAAGCCCCACCAGACGTTTCCAAAGGAATCAGCTGAGATCTGGCTTTGTCATTTCCAAGGTGTGTGACTTCAGGAAAGTCAGTTGGCTGCCCGGTCTCAGTTTCCTTGTCTGTAAAATGGGGATAATCAGAGCTCCTGTCAAACATGACGATGAATGGAAGGGGCTTACCGATTATGAAAGTGCACTCAGCGCCCAGGGCTGCGTGTCGCCATCTAACCACACGCCCTGCCTCTTAGAGTGGCGTTGCCTCTGGGCCGCTCGCTTACTCGGCAGTCTGGGAGAAAACTGTGGGTCTGTGCTCCAGGCTTGAGTTTCCTCGTGCTCTGGGCCCAGAACAAGGCAGCTGTGACTTGGAAAGAGAGGGAACTCTTGGGGAGTGTGTTTGGGGCAGCCCAGGTGGCCACCAGTGAGAGCTTTGCCTCTGAAAGGATATTTGAGAACTTTTTCAAAGCCATTTCCAGTTATCCAGATAGAATGAGTAGCTCCAAAACCCACAAATGGTTGATGGAGCCCAGAGAGTTTGTCCAAATTGCTTCTAGACACTCCAAAGACACTGTTTATCAGATCTCAACCCTCCCTCCTTGGGCAGGATTGTGGCCGGGGGCTGTGGACCCTTTGGGGGAAAGGGCCATGGGACGTCTCACTTGGGTTCCACACATCTAACGATTCCTGGGGCCCGGGAATGCCCGCCAGTCCTCAGCTCCCAACTTCCTCCTTTGTCCCTCCGTAAATGAGGTTTTTGCAGTTCTCTTATGAATAAATCCGTAAGAATGTCCCCTTTGTGCTTCTTCCAGGCAAGGATCTGGAGGAGCTAAGGCACATTAACTTCTTCCCTGAATCCTGGCTCGTCCGGGTTATAGCCAACCATTACCTCGCGGTGAGTCGCCAGCTCAGCGCAGAAACAGTTATCGAAATTTATTGCCTTTGCTTTTTCTGGAGATGTGTTTTGCATTTGGAACCTCTGGGCCTCTGAGGTGGGGAAGTATCTGGATCCTTCCCCAGGGGAAGTGGGAAGAGCCAAGCCTGGAGGGGAGGAGAGAGGAGGCCCCGCCTTGGAGCCCAGGTGTTTAGAACATCTGTCCTGTTGACCCGGAGAGTTGGGGACAATTGGCCACACGGCCCTGCAAACAGAGTCCCCTCACAGATACAAATGTCAGGTGCTTATTATTGAAATTTTTCAAAATTTAGAGAAACTGAAAGAAAGAAGACACATACTCTCAGACCCATCACTCCCCAAACAACCATCGCAAACATCTTATTGCATTTTATTGCCTTCAGGTCTTTTTTAAAAAAATACACTCAATGAAATGTGTTTCTTATCACCATTTTTACTGGCTGCAAACTCTTCCACCAAGAGGATATGCTACAAACAGTGCTACTTGGCCTTTCCTTTATTGTAGAAAAGTCGTGGTGTTTCTAACTGCTATCTATTATAAGTAGGCTGCATGGTGAATGCATTTGCACGTAATGGTTTATTTTACTATACTTAGAATTATTCTTATAGGAGAATCTGAAGAGTAGAAAATACTGGCCCCAAAAGGAATGTGCACTTTTGTTCTTGATACATATTAGCAAAATTTGAACCAAATTACTCCTTCCCCAGTGATAAACGAGGTGCCTTTCTTTGAACAAGCTCAGCAACATAGAGCATTTTCCTTTCAGATCACTTGTGTCAATTGTGAAGTGAACAATGGCGTCTCATTTTTGGATATGCATTCCCTTTATTACTAGTAAATATGAATATTTGTCCACGTGGCATTTCCCCCTTTGTGAATTGTCTGTGCAAACGGTTGTGCTTCTTATGTGTTTCCAATCATGCATTTTCAGAGATGAAGTGGGGCAGTGTTTGAATTCTGAAGATTTATGAGTCACTGGTTGAAATTAAATTCAGCTCAACAAATACCTATTGTAATGTGCAAACCACAGGGCTCGGTGCCCCATACGCAGTAGATAACCGCTCCATGGAACTGTGCTTCTCTGGGACATAACTCAAAATTGTGTTCTAACAGAGCAGAGGGTGGGAGGGGCAACAGAGAGAGAGGGGACAGTCTCGGGGCTGGGGCTGGACACCTCAGGAAGTCCCCCACCTCCCTTTTCATGTCCCTCTGGCCTTGCCCACCTCCTTCCTTTTGCCCCCCGCCACCAATGTCATCCTCCTGAAATTTGCTCCCTCCAGGCCCCCGCCCTCACGTGGAGCCTGCCCTATGGGGCCGTACTTGCTCTTGACTTTACAGCCATGAATATTCTCTGCCTTGTAATCGGGCTCCTGATGTACACATTTTATTTCTCAAGTAAGAAAAAAATGCTGGGGCATTTTTCTTGTTCTCATCTTTGCATCTTCTGAGAGCATCGAGCATGGTACCTGGCTAGTAGGTTTTCAGTAAATACTGTGGACTGGATTCATGGGTGAGCATAGGCTCCAGAGACAGAACTCTTTCGAGCACGATGGGGGTTGTAGGGATCAATGTAGTGAAGGTGATGTTGGGGGGTCGGGCTGCTGGTAAGTGGTGTGTGTTTTCCTTTCAGCTGGAGAATGGGGGCGACATGGCCCACGCGAAAGATCTTACCACCCAGGGGGTGAGATTCGGGCTGCTCTTTAACCAGGTACTGACCACTGGGCCTGAGCCAGGGGAAGAAACATCCCTTCCCGTGCTTGGTGAGAGACCTTTGTACAATGGCCATGCTCACTTCCGCCCTCTGGTAGGAAGGCCGGGGCAGAAGAGGGAATCATAGGGGTCTCTCCTGCACACTTGCCACCCCCTTAGAAGGAAAATGCACAGACGGGGCCCTAGGACAGGCCATTCAGTCACTTGATGGGCACATCTACGATTCCCATGAGGGTACCCAAATGTCTCAGCTTTCCAGGGTTGGAGGTGTTTCCTGGGGATGCAGGACCTTTCTGTTCTAAAACCAGGAAAGGCCTGAGCAAACTGGGATGAGTTGGTCATCCTCTTCCCCACAAACATGGTGAGCTGCCAACTGCCCAAGAAGAGATTCCACTCTGAGCCCGTGGTTAAGGTTGCAAGGGCGACTGTTCTGAGCAGCTCTTTAGATGGAGCCCAGAATCAAAGCGGCAGTGAGTTAGGGAGCTCGGCTGCAAAGCCTCTGGGTGCTCAGTCACCAGCGGAGCCTGAGCGGCTGGTGGCTGCCCTCTGTCTTGGGCTCCCTCGATAGGTACAATTCTCCAAGCAATGGCTGCGATCCTCCAACATCACTAAAGCCACCCCAGTAGTGATCTCAAAAGAATTCATGTTTTACGGGTTTGGGGCCCTGAGTCTATCATCAGAGACTCCCCTCTGGGTCAGGCCTGGATGGGCTGTGCTTGCAGGGACCTGCCCAAGTGGACAGATTGCAGACCACAGTGGCCGGGACACCGTGCAATACCGTGGGCATGGCGGGTCTCTTAGGCCCATCAGATTGGAGCCAAATGGTTTGTTTCAAAGGTCTGCAGACCACGGGTCATCTAAGAATATGCCTAACTCATTCTTCTCCCCACTAAGGGGGGCATGCAGAGCAAATAGTATTGCCACTGAGCGCCAACCTATCAGGATTTGTAAAGTCGCTACAGTTTGTCTCTTCTTTTGTTTCCCAGGCTAACATTGCTGTTATGTTTTAAATCACAAATTAGTCACTTTAGTAGTTGTAGCTAGAATCGGTCTTGCTATGTTTTCTTGCCTTTGACTACTGAAGGTTTTTACCCCATCACTTTGTTGCTTGTCTTTCCCCATTTAGGAGTATACTACACATTCAAAAGTGATTGCCATGTATGGATTCTTCTTTGAGATAAAGGGAATCAAACATGATACTACTTCATATAGTTTTCATATGCAGGTAAGAAGGACAGAGAGCACAGGAGAGCTATGTCTCTGAAACAGCCTTTGAGATTCAGAATCAATTCATATGGAATTAATAATAATTGATTAAACATGAGTCACGAATTCATTTGTAAGACGTGTTGTAAGCCTGGTGCCGCTCATCCTCATGGTCGTGATGTCATTTGACTTTTGCACTAACGTTGCGAGGCTGCTGCTCTTAACCCACTCAATAGACGAGGATCTCAAAGCGGAGTGTCTTCATGTTTGTATGGCCTCTGCTGTAAGGCCAAGGTCAAATGATAGTCCTCTGGAGCCACGTGTGGGGCTCAATTCATTTTCAGTTTGTACATGCTGGGGGATGCTTTACAGATGGCCATCCTTCTGTGGAGGTAACGCACATGCCCATAAAGGCAGAGGGAATGGTGTTCTCTAGGGGGGCAAAGCGGAGGCTGTGAACAGGACGCTGGAAGAGTCAGGAGGGTGGATGCCTTCACCTCCATGCTCCTGCTGGACTTTCAGGAGAGGCAGGAGAGCTGGGTTTCAGAGTAGAGTCTGAATTCAAACCACCTGGTGAGCCGTTTGATCTTGGTGATCCCAGGCGCCTCCCTGTGTTCACTTTCTGACCTTTAAGTTGGACAAGGTAATAAGACCTACCTTCCTAGGTTGCTGTGAGTATTAAATGTGTTAACTTGTGCAAAGGGCTTGGAACAGGGCCCTGATGATGATGGTGACAGCTATGATGGTGGACCCCTACCTTCCACTTAGGGTTTCATTATAAGTCTCCAAAACTTTAAGCTCCTTGAGAAACCATGTCTTTAATATCACCATATCTTTTTATTACCACTGCGAATCACAGAACAGGAACGTAGGGGTGGTATGTTTGTATTATGAGTGGATAAATGAATGAATGCATGAATGAGAAACCTGGGGTTTCATCCAGCTTGGCCACTACCTCTTTATGTGTCCTTGAGCGAGTCACATCTCTTCTTTAGGCCAGTCCTTGGCCTTCAGTGACTCACGCATTTCCCTACGTATGGATTTTACTGGATGGAAGAGATGAATTATGTAACAACAGGAGTCGAAGTGCTCATATGAATACTATGTTGGTTTTTTAAACTGGCAAAGCAATGTGAAGACCTTCCCGTTCAATATAGATTGACTTCATGGTGCTTTCCTGAGTTGGCCAAACCCCAGTCCGTTGGGCAGTGGTTTGCTCATGGTGAGGGTTCAAATGCCAACTGATTCAGCAGCAGCTGCATGTAAGAAATGGGGCCATGAGGAAACCCTCCCGCCCTGTACACATCAGACAGGAGGGCCGATGTGGCAGGGACCACGTTTCGCTAACTCCGGGTCACCCTGGTTTCAGTTCCACCTAAGGTGGGTCACCCTCCTTGCAGAGAATAAGGCACACCAACTTGGAATTTGCCTCCTCCGTCTATGAGCACAGCCCCATCAGCCTGAGAGCAGAGCGCTTGGTGACGTACGAGATCAGAGCCCAGACCCTGGTGGACGGCAAGTGGCAAGAGTTCACGACGAACCAGATCAAGCAAAAGTTTGGGTTGGTCAAGTCGTCCTGCAAAAGCCACGTGAGTGCTTTTCTTTTCTTTTCTCTTTGATTTTGCTCTTTTGCTCGTTCTCTCCTCCACATATTTTTGGGGATCACTGACTTTATAGCTCCAGCGATCTACGGGGGGAAATTTGCTCAGTTTCTTAAGGATTTTCACAGCCCCAAATAATGCTAAAGAAAAACCTTGTAGGATGAAATCTGGGCATACTGAAAACGATAAGCCAAACCAGACTGCCTGATTTGGGTCACACCCGAATCATTTTATAAACATCGAAGGGGACTTTTAGGGAGAGGTGGAATGTCTGATGGAGCGTATTTGCTGCCAACACCACCTTTCTTGCCGGGACATCACCTTCCACCAAAATCCATGGCCCAGCCCACCCGCCCCTGGCTCGTCCAAGGAGAACTGAGGTCATCTGCCTCAGTGGGCCACCGCAGCATCCCGGTGGATTCAGTACCTGGCTTGGCTCCTGACGGCTGCAATCCAGAAATTGCTAGAGAGCCTGTCTGCAGTGCTGGGAGGAGCTCTTTGGTCTGTGAATTTAAGCCCTCGCTGCCCTGCAGGAAATGGGACTTGACCTTAAACCAGTGAGTAATTCTCAGTCCTGTCTGCACATCAGAATCACCTGGCCCTTTGCAAACTCCCCAGGCCCGAGAGCCACCCAGATAAGACCAGATATTCCGTGGTGGGACCCAGGCATCAGTATTTTTTAAAGCTCCTCTAGTTATTCTCTATGGTGTTGGAAATCAGAATAGCAATTTCCTTGTGGAGGTGGGAGTGGGGGAGGCTGGGATACTGACCAGGAGGGGATGGGAAGGAGATTTCAGAGGTACCTGAAATGTTCTTTATCATGATCAGGGTGGTGGTCACACAGGAGTGCTTACTTGTGAAAATCCATCAAGCTGTATCCTTAAGATTGGGGCACTTCATTGTATTTAACTTATACTTAATTTTTTTAAGGTTTATTTTAAAAACCTTCCCTACATGATTCTTACTGTACATCCAGAGTTGAGAAGCAGCATCTTATACAATCGCCAGGCCTTCCTCTTTCCCCTTCTAGAGGGTGATTGCGTTTATCCTGAACGTCCCGTTTGCTTTGTTTTGTTTCATCTTTTAGGCCTTGAAAATCCAAACTGTGGGCATCCCAATCTATGCAAGTTTTTCATTCATCTTCTCATTATCTTAACGGTTTTCCGAAGAATCTATGGCATTTTTTTTTCTTCCACTGGTCCATGTAAAAGGAAATAAAACGACATGAAAGGGACTGCTCAAGCATTCAGCTGACTCTCCGAGTTAGTAATGGTCTCAGAACTTTGGCCCACTGTCTTGGTCTGTTGGGCTGCTATAACAAAACACCACAGACTGGGGGCTTATGAACAACAGAAATTTGTTACTCACAGTTCTGGAGGCTGGAAGTCCAAGATCAAGGTGCCAGCAGATTCCACGTGGTGTCTGATGAGAACCTGCTTTCTGGTTCATAGACGGCTTCTTCTCGCTGTGTCCTCACATGGTGGAGGGGGCAGGGAGCTCCCTGGGGCCTCTTTTAATAAGGGCACTAATCCATTTTACGAAGGCCCTGCCTTTCCCTCATGACCTAATCACCTCCCAAAGGCCCCACCTCCTAATGACATTACCTTTGGGGGTTAGAATTCAACATATGAAGTCTGGGGAGACACATTCAGACCATAGCACTCCCATTTGTATCGTCGGAAGATGGAAAGTATCAGAGCCATGAGTCCATTGCCATCATCGACCCCGAAGCTCCCTGAGTCCAGACCTAACTTGGTGCACTCTCGGAAGCACTCCTATGGGGGCATCAACAGTAACAACATACTCCAACAGGAAGCGCCAAGGTTCCCCTTTTTGTGATACATCTCTGCTTGCCACACAGAACAACACACCTTGCCATTGTCCCTGGCAGTTTTGGCTCAGCCAGAACAAGAGGTAGGAAGGGAAGTAAACAGTTATAAGGTATGGCATGACTTATTTACTGTCCCACCTTTTTAAATGGAACTTTAGGTTTTGGAAAAAGCAAGGCAAGAGAGTCTTTTTTCGCACCGTGTGGATTAGTTTTCTGTTGCAGTGTAGCAGAGTAACAAAAGTTTAGTGGCTTAAACAACACATACTTATTTCACAGTTGTTGTGGGTCAGGAGTCCAAGCAGACTTGCTGGGTCCCCTGCCCAGGGTCAAGTCTACAATCCAGTGGCAGCTGGCTGTGTTCTCATCTGAAGACACAAGTGGGGAGAACCCATGTCCAAGCTCATGAGGTTGCTGGCAGATTCATTTCCTTGCAGCTGTATGACTGAGGGCCTGACTGCTTACCTGCTGTCGAGAGAAGACCACCCAGGCTCTACAGGCCCCTGTACTTCCCTGCCACATGGTGCTCTCTACAGACCTTTCAGAGCATGGCTGTGTGTCCTTCAAGGCCAGCAGGAGAGTCTCTCTAACTGTCATCTGCTAAGACAGAGCCGTGCGTACCGCAAGGTAATCTTGGGAGTGACATAGCATCACCTTGGCCATGTTCTCGGGGCTAGAAGTAAGTCATATGTTCTACCCACACTCAAGGGGAGAGGATTATACAAGGTGTGTGATGATTTAGGGTGTGTCCGCCACAGCCTGTTAACCGGTGTCTTTGGGAAAGTGATGGAGCATCAGCTGATGCCGTATAGACAACAAGTGGGTAAATTTAGTCTGATGATCACCGTAGAATCAGACATGGGTTAAGGGAGCCGCCTTCCCAGCAGAGGACTGATGCCCTGGGCAGAGTGAGCTGGCAGAGAGGAGGGCTGGTGGGAAGGTGAGAAGGGGAACCAGTGGAAGAATTGGACAAACGAACTGGGAGTTGGGTCTGTCCTAGCCCCCATCCTGCAAGTTCTGTTCCCTAGCTTGCATCTGGCCAGGCCCAGCCAACAGGAAGTGGTGATGGGAGCTTGGAGAATAAGAGACTGAGGGAACCCAGGGGACTTCTCACCCTCTCGGCTGCAGAGGGCATTTTCCAGCAGTGGCTGTCTCCCCTCTATGGCTCCAGCTCTGCTCTGCTGTCCCAGCTCCTACCTGGCAGCCTCCTGTCGTGGTTCCAGATCCATCAGATGGCCCTGCTTCTGCTTCTGTTCTGGTGACGCCTCCTCATCTGTGTACCCCTGCAGCTCCAGGCCGGTGAAGACTTCCTGCCGGTCTCTGGGTGCCTCATTCTCCTGTTTGCCTTCCCAGGTCTTCCTTCATCTGTGTGATCTGTTCTCTATTATATTTATTCTGTTTGAAATCCCTGGAGTATTTTAGGCTTTCCAGACAAGTCCCTGATATAAAGGGTTCTGAGGAGTTGGCAGGTGTGACCCAGTGCATAGGCTGTTGGAAAACAGCCTCGATTATTCCTCCCACCCCTGCAGGGCCGGGTCAGGGCAAGGCAAGTGAGACACTCTCCTTGTGTCAAAATACACCGTCATTCAGATTAATAGTATTTTAGTGGACTATCTTAAAAAAATCAAAATCAATGCCAAAAATCTGTGACGTAGGTTGATGAATTACCACAGATGAACACCCCCATATTCCAGCGCCCAGATCAAAACCAGAAAGTGCACGATCACCACCCCAGATGCCCCCCCGCCTCCTTGTACTTCCTCCCAGTCACTGTTCCTCGAAGGTAAACGCTATCTGACTATCACATTCATTACAACGGCCATTTAGTTTGAATATTGAATGAAGAGAGTCGTGCAGCCTGTTCTCTTCCATGCCTGCATCCTTTGGTTCAACATCACGTTTAAGAGATTCATCCACGTCTTCGTAGGGAGCAGTAGTTTGTTTTCAAATAAGGATCGTTTCCCCTTTTATAACACGAAATGTTACTTCTATATAATAACAAGCTTGTTGAAGAAAAATGAGGAAATTCAAAGAAGACAATAAAATCCAGTGGGACTCCCATCATTCAGAAGTTTGGCAGGTGACCTTCCCGAATTACCTTTAGATGCACTTGGAGTTTTCTTCCCATTCAAAATGGGATTATGCAATGTGTTTTTCCTTAGAAGCTGATTTTTTTCCTCTCTCCAGATAGATGATTTCTTTAACAGAGAAGCACAGCCTTGGGAGAAGAAGGCGGTGATGAATTTGCCTTGCCTCCAAACTAATGGTGCTAAGTCGGAAAAGTCACTTGTCATTTCCTCTCTGTGAACTGTGCTTCCTTGTCTATAAAAAGGGGATAAGGCAGCCCCTCGGCCTCCCTCGGGACTATGATCCCTGCGGCCACGAGTCGTGTAACAGCCCCTCGGTAAGCAGCCCCTGGGCAGATGTTGGGGTGCGGCTCGACTCACTGGCTCTGGAGAAAGAGCAGCCTTGTGGCATTTCACCAGGGTCCTGGGGGATAATGGGGAGGATAAGAATGGAAAACTTCTGAAAAGCAAGTCCGTAGATGTCCAAGAGAGAAGAAGCTGTTTGGAAGCGCTGCTGAAACATGAATGACTGTCCACTTTCTATGGGAAACCACTGTCCTGGCTCAGCTATTTGGAATATGCAATGTCAAGCTCCTGGAGTCTGCAGGATTGGGAAAACCTCGCGGAACAGCAATTCCAAAAAGGCCTCCCTAAGGTGACCAGTCACACTGTGAGGGTCCAAAAGGCAGGGATGTAGGAGAAAGGCAACCCCAGAAAGGATGGAGTAAGGGCCTGACGGGCTGGGCTGCGTCCCCTGCCTCAAGGGCCAGAGAATGGAGGCACCTGAGGCAGAAGGACTCGGGGCATCAGGGACAGGAGATGATGTCATTTCTACCTCCTCACTGTAAGAGCGGGGAATCAGGCCCAGGGAGCTGGAGTGACAGTTCTGGTTTAAAGATGTTACACTTGACGCCCACCCTCTCACTGAATCCTCCCAACTGCCCCCCCTCCCCGTGATGTAGGTGTATTTTCCACGTCAGTAAGAGTGGCAGCTGAGGGCTTCCCTGCTGGCGCAGTGGTTAAGAATCCGCTGGCCAATGCAGAGGACATGGGTTCAAGCCCTGGTCCAGGAAGATCCCACATGCTGCGGAGCAACTAAACCTGTGAGCCACAACTACTGAGCCCATGTGCCACAACGAATGAAGCCCACGCGCCTGGAGCCCGTGCTCCACAACAAGAGAAGCCACCGCAATGAGAAGCCCGAGCACACAACGAAGAGTAGCCCCCGCTCGCCGCAACTAGAGAAAGCCTGCGCACAGCAACAAAGACCCAACGCAGCCAAAAATAATTAATTAATTAATTAATTAAATTTTTAAAAAGAGCAGCAGCTGAGCTTCAGAGAATAAGGAAGTTGTACATCCAGGTTCCTCAGAGTGGCAGAGCCGGGGCCACCACGGGCCTGGCCACAGGGCTCACCTGTTTCCATTTCCCTCCACAGGCCACTGAGAAGAGGGGAAAAATTTACTTATTTATTTATTTATTTGGCTGCATTGGGTTTTTGTTGCTGTGCGCGAGCTTTCTCTAGTTGTGGCGAGCAGGGGCTACTCTTCATTGCGGTGCACAGGCTTCTCATTGCGGTGGCTTCTCTCTTTGCGGCGCACGGGCTCTAGGCACGTGGGCTCAGTAGTTGCGGCTCACGGGCTCTAGGCGCGCGGGCTCAGTAGTTGTGGTGCACGGGCTTTGTTGCTCCGCGGCATGTGGGATCTTCCCAGACCAGGGCTCGAACCCGTGTCCCCGGCATTGGCAGGCGGATTCTTAACCGCTGCACCACCAGGGAAGTCCCGAGGGGAAAAGTTTTAAGGTGCTTAATTCAAGTATTTATTGAACACCTACTACATGCCCGACAGAACTGTGTGCGGAGCATCTGGGCATGCTGGGCCGTGCTGGGCAGGGTGCCTTCACATGGGAAATCACATTTGATTCCGCTGGGGGCATTGGGACAGGGCAAGGGTGGTCTCACTGAGGAGGTGGCAGGTAAATGGGCCATGGAGGATGAGCAGTGTCCTTGCAGGTGGAGGGTTGCTGGGAAATGGTACAGGTGAAGCTGAAACAGCTGAGAACAGGCTCATGTCCAGGTCCAGGACTCTTGGACTGAATCTTCACCAGAATCTCCTGGTTGCTGGTGCAAATGGACCCCTAGCCCCCCAGCTGTGAAGGCTGACTTTGCAGCCTAGGAAACACCCAGGAACCTGCACTTTAACTCCCAGGCTTTGGGGAAGTCCTGATGCGGGAGGTCTGGGATCACTCCCAGAAACAACTCAGATCGATCTGAAAATGTTGATTCCATAGCAGGGGTCCCCACCGTACCCCACATACCCGACTGTCTTTCTTCTCCAGTGAAAAAAAAATCCAATAACAACAACAAAGCTGTGAATCTATTTCACCACACTGGATGATTTTATTTTTAAAACCAAATTTCCTGTATTATGAAATATAGAACTTCAAGGAGGCACCCTCCTGTGGGTGGACCATTTACTATAATGCAGAGTCCACCCCTTTCCACTAGGGGGCGAGGTCTGCCTCAAAACTGGGAACCAGAATTTCAGTGGCAGAAATTTGCAACTTAAAAGCTCATCTTGCAGGGTCTTCCTTGCTTAGTGGTTCAAAGTGAACTTTTTTTACATCCCAGATGAGACTGTGGTCATTCAAACATCTACAGTGTTCACATCACAAAATCTCTGAACCTGGGAAGTAGAAGTCTTGAGACAAAAATTCTTAAGATGATCTTACAAGCCCTCCTTACAAGTGAGAACTTCTTAGACTAGAACTTAAAAAGTCCACAGTCACCAGGCCAAAAGCAGTGACCATGAGTGTTGGTCAGCCTAACATATTATGTGCCATGTCCATGACCTTCTCTGTGTTTGCTTCTCCTATCACCCACCATCTGGCTCACCTCCCCAGACCCTCCCCTCCAACAAAGATGGCCCGGCAACTCTTTTAAGTCATGAAGTAGCAAGACAAGGGTTTGAGTCCTAGCTCTGTCCCTTACTAGCTGTGTTGCTTTAGGCAAGTCACCTAACCTCTCTGAACCTCAGAGTCTAATCTGAAGTGGGCCATAAGACCTGTGGTGTTAAATAAGTTGATGTGTGATTGGTAAAGCACCCAACACATAGTAGGAGGTTGATACAATTTATCTCTGTTCCTCCTCATTATTTGGAGTCATTCAGTATTTATTAGGTCAAGATGGATGCTCTGTGATCTTGGGCAAGTCCTTTTTCTCTTCTGGGCCTTCTTCCCCTTATGCAAAATGAAAGGTCGAGCTAGGCACTCTTGGTAGACCTTCCCAGCTGCAATCATTCATTGAGTCCTCTGATTCCAGGAGAGCAGAAGAACAGAAGTGAATGGCTGTGCCTATGACCAGGAAAAGTAGGACCTGGGGAAGAAATGAACTGTCTTATTTTCCTGTGAGCTCATCGGGAAGAGCAAGAAGGGCTTTATCCTCACTCTTCCTTAGAGGGTTTGGAATCCTGGAGGCTAGAGTACCAGATGAGAGAGGACATTTTTGCTCTTGTAAGCCTAAGATGAGAAGGGGATGTGCTGGGGCCTGCCAAGCTGCTGGGGAGAAAGACGGGCTCCCCGGGAACTGGGTGGGGGAAGTCCCAGCCCCATGTGCACACAGGAGGATGGCATAGGATGTGTTGGAGGCTGGCCTACAGGATCTGAGGCCTTGAGAGCTGAGAAGCAGTGAGGACAGAGTATCCTGTGGGAGACAGAGAGGAGAGAACCCTCTGTAGGGAAACCTCTAGGGCAGTGCTATCCAGTAGAACTTTCGGCAGTGATGGAAATGTTCTATATCCACCCTGTCCAATATGGTGGCCACTAGCCCCATGTAACCACAGAGCACTGAAATGTGGCTAGTGTGACTAGGAAATTGAGTTTTTAAGTTTATTTCATCTTAATGTATTTACATTTAAATCACCATAAATGCAAGTAGAAGGAACAGGGTAACAAAGGTACCAACCACGGAACAGGACTGGGACCTTCCAATTTCTACAGACCCTCCAGAGTACTGAGTCTTTTAGTCTCTCCCCAAGGCCCGGAGAAGGAAGCGTCAGTGGCCATGCCTGAGGCTCAGCCTGCAGTCACCAGAAACATTTGCCTGGACTGCTGGGCGAAGGCTACCTCCTCAGGGGCAGGGAGAAGCATGTTGGGGGAAAGGAAGGTTCTAATGCCAGGGAAGCAGAACTCAGCTCTCTATCAGGAGTCCCAGTGTTACCCCACTCCTACCTGCACTGACAGTTATTTAAATTTCAATTTATTAAAGTGAAATAAAATCAACAACTTAACTTCTCAGTGGCATTGGCCACATTTCAAGTGTTCGGTGGCCACGTTTGGCTGGTGGCTACCGTATTGGACAGGGTGGAATAGGACGCAAGGCTCCCATGGCTCCACTTGGTGACTCTGAGTGAGTTATGTGCTCTTTGCGCTTTCAGCCCCTGACATTCATTCTACAGATTTCTCATGGGCGGCTGGCTGCTGTGGGCGCCAGGCGTGGGTTAGGGCTTCAAAGGTGAACAACACAGACAGCCTCTGCCCTCATGGAGCCCACAGTGTGGAGAGAGACAGGTGTTGATGGAATCATTGCACTAAGCAATGCTTCAGCGCCCTGAAGCGAGGAAGCCCAGTTGCTTGAAAGCTTAAAGCAAAGAAGCTGACCTAGAGCCCAGGAGGGCATGCGAGGCCCAGGGAGGGGTCTTTGCACGGAAGTAGCCCTTAAGCTGAGACATGAAGTATGAGTGAGATTTTTTTTTTTTCCGCTGTGCCACGTGGCTTGTGGAATCTTAGTTCCTCAACCAGGGATTGTACCTGTGCCCCCTGCAATGGAAGTGCAGAGTCCTAACCACTGGACCACCAGGGAATTCTCATGAGTGGAATTAAAATGGGTTTGGATGGAGAAATCGGAACCCTCATATGCTGTGAAATGGTACAGCCACTTCGGAAAACAGTCTGGCAGCTCCTCAAATGATTAACCATAGAGTTGCCATATGATCCAGCAATTCCACCAAGTATATACCCAAGACGCACGAAGACATGTGTCTCTACAGAAACGTGGGCACAAATGTTCACTATTCATAGTAGCCAAAAGGTGCAAAGAACCCAAATGTCTATCAGCTGACAGATGGTTAAACAAAATGTGGTAGATCCATACGATGGCATATTATTCAGCTGTAAAAGGGAATGAAGTGCAATACATGCCATAAGGTGGATGAACCTCGAAAACATGACGTTAAGTGAAAGAAACCGGTCACAAAAAAGCCACATATTATATGATCCCTTTCATGTGAAATGTCCAGAACAGGAAAATATGCAGAGACAGAAAGCAGATTAGTGGTTGCTTAGGGCTGGAGGGAGGAAGAGGCTGGGGAGAGAGGGAGGGTGACAGCTAAAGGGTACAGGGTTTCCGTCTGAGACGATGAAAATGTTCTACATTGACTGATGGTGATGGTTGCAAAACTGTAAATATACTAAAAAACTATTGAACTGGACATTTAAATGGGTGAGTTGTATGATACATGAATTACATCTCAACAAAGCTGTTTTTTTCTTTTTTTTTCATTTATTTACTTTATTTATTTATTTTTGCCTGCGTTGGGTCTTCGTTGCTGCACGTGGGCTTTCTCTAGTTGCGGCAAGCAGGGGCTTCTCTTCGTTGTGGTACGTGGGCTTCTCATCGCGGTGACTTCTCTTGTTGCGGAGCACGGGCTCCAGGCATGCGGGCTTCAGTAGTTGCAGCACTCGGGCTCAGGAGTTGTGGATCACGAGCCCTAGAGCACAGTCTCAGTAGTTGTGGCGCACGGGCTTAGTTGCTCCATGACATGTGGGATCTTCCCGGACCAGGGCTCGAACCCGTGTCCTCTGCGTTGGCAGGTGGATTCTTAACCACTGTGCCACCATGGAAGTCCCAAAGCTGTTTTTTAAAAAAGGAAAAGTTGGGGGTCAGGAGAAGATTCGGTCCAGACTAGAACGTGAGCTGGGGAGCCAACTCCTTTAGAAGACGAGGAAGAAGGCCAAGTGGCCAGAGGCAGGGGAGCAGGCAGAAACAGCTG